AGTGATTACACCACAATTTACATTTCTATTCTCTTGCTGATGGATATTTAGGTTGTTTCCAGTTCTTCATGATTAAAATCAATGCTACTGCCCTAGTTGGTTTCGTTCAGTGGTTAGAGCATTGGCCTGCAGACAATGAGTCGCAGGTTCGATTCTGGTCAAGGGCTTGTTCCTTGGTTGCGGTTCGGTCCCTGGCCTTGGTTGGGTCCTATGGGAGGCAGCCAATCAATGTGTCTCTCTCACGTCGATGTTTCTCTCTTTCTCCCCCTCCCTCCCATTCTGTCTGAAAATAAATGGGAAAATATCCTTGGGTGAGGATTTAAAAAAAACAAAACCAAACAAATAAAAATAAAATCAATGCTGCTATAAACATTTCTGCATATGTTTCTAGTATACATGTGGCAGAGTTACTTTTGTAACGTACGTGGGGTGACTGCTGGGGCTCGCGGCGAGCTCGCGCTCACGTTCATTAGATGATGCTAAGCTATTTTCCAGAGCCGTGGTGCCCATTACATTCCCACTAACGGTGAATGAGACTTCACAGACACTACTGGGGTGTCAGCCACATGGGGTGTCATCAGACTTCTGGTTTTGGCCAACTGACAAAATTAAAATGGTATGTTGTTGTGCTTTTTGTGTGCATGTCTCTGTTGACTGTGAAAATAAGCACTTTATATTCTCCACAGCACCAACTTCAATCTGATTTCTTATCCCCGAGCTTCTCCACTTCCCCAGAATCTTCTGAAATCTGGTCAACTCTTTTTGTTAATCCTCACCTGAAGATATTTTCCATTGATGTTTAGAGAGAGTGGAAGGGAGGGAGGGAGGGAGAGAGAGAGAGGGACACATCAGTTGGCTGCCTCCTGCACGAGCCTGCTTGGGGATTAAACCTGCAACCCAGGCACGTGTCCTTGACTGGAACTGAACCTGCGACACTTCGATACATGGGCCGACGCTCTAACCACTGAGTCAAACCAGCTAGGGCAGAAATCTGGTCCACTTTGAAACTGAATTCCCACAAGCCCCCAAATCATTTCTCGGCACTGGACCCTGGTGGAAAAACACCTGTCCAGGCTCTGTACCGTCCAGGACCGTGCTGGAGGGCTTTACGTGCAGTGATTCATGCAGTGCTTACAACACACTTATAGCAAAGGCTCATAACCTCCACTTCATAGATGGGGAGACAGAATCAGAAGGGGCAGGAACTTTCCCGAGGACGCCCAGTTGGGACCTGGCCGACTCCAAGGCAGGTGCTTTTCACTGCTCTGTAGGCGACAGCAGAGTTAGGTGCTGGGGCCGGGCTCCCTCTCGCCTCACTCAGGAAGCTCAGCTGGTGGTCTGGTGCGCATCTGGGAAGTCAGGAGTCAGCCTGAGCCAGCAGACCCAGGAGTAAATGGATTCAGGGCAGGGAGCAATTGGAGGGGGAGGAGTTTCAGAAGGAGGAGGACTTTGGTGGTCAGGGCTGGTGTTTCCCAGAAGTGAGCGGCTTATTTTAGATGGTGTTAAATATCTCTGGCCCCGTAGTGGAAGAGTTAGACCCCTTTCAGCCTTCTTTCCATCCTCTGATGACGGCTGGGGTGGGGGTCGCAGTTTGGTGCTAGTGCATCAGAAACACCTATGGCTCTTCTACCCCCTTTAAACAAAGGCAAACAAGATCGCAGGTCCTACGAATTTTAGGCAGGGGATAGCATCTTCCTAAAATTCAATTCCTGGCTTTCGTTTTCCTTGTATTTAGTTTTTACTTTTCACTGTGTTTGGTTTTATGGTAAGTTGACTGTGTTGTTTAAGAAACACTTACATAACACCTACTACATGTCAGGCTCTGTTCCAAATGCTTTACAAATATTGACTGATTTAATTCTCCCAAGGCCCTTCTGATGCAAGTACAGCTATTACTATTCCCATGTCACAGGAGAGGAGCGCGAGAGCCAGAAGGGAAACGCCCAGGGTCACACACCTGTAAATGGCAGGGCTGGCTGTGAAGGGAGGCAGGCGGCCCCAGGTGTGAGGTGACTCCCGTGGCGCTCACCGCCCCTCCAGTGCATAGGAAGGGGCGGTAAAGTACAGGTAAATGGCGAGCAGAAGCCGGCGCGGGTGGAACCCTGCATGCAGTGACTGGTAGGAGCTCTGCAGCCCTTTAACATGGCTTCACGGATGCAGGGATAGAGCAGGTGGGCCCCGAAGGCTAAGTCTAGGGTGAGGGGGACAAGGTGCTCGAGGGGAAGACAAAGCAGGAGAATGTGCCTCATGCAGAGGCAGCGAGGCAGGATGGGGTCTGGGTGCTGGAAGGACGGTGAGTGACTCAGAGCGGCCGAACAGTCATGGAAGGAACCCAGCACCCTTAGTAACTGCCAGCCCACAGGGCTGCCGCACGCCTTCCCGCGGACATCGTGAACTGCAGGTGCAGTGGGCATTACCGTCCCCATTCCATTTATTTATTTATTTTATCCTCACCCGAGGACCTTTTTTTTTTTCTTCTATTTTTTGTTCAGATAGAGTGGGACAGAGAGAGAGGAAGAGAAAGAGAGAAAGAAACATCGACGTGAAAGGGACACATTGAGTGGCTGCCACCCACACGACCAACCAGGGCCGGGGACAAACCGCAATCGAGGTACGTGCCCTTAGCGGGAACCGAACCCGGGTCTCTCTGGACCACAGGCCGATGCTCCAAGCGCTGAGCCAAACCGGCCAGGGCTGTTGTCCCCATTTTAGACATGGTAACTGAGGTCAGAGAGTAGAAGGACCAAAGAAGCTCCGAGATCCTCTAGCTTCAAATTCCGGGCTCTTTGCTCGCTTCCGCTGTATCAGGTTTCTTTAGTGGCAAGTAACAGAAACAATTCAACATGGCTGAGCAAAATAGGTGTGTTTTTGCTTATGTAAATGAAAAGGCCGGGGATGGACTTCAGATACAGCGGGATCCAGGTCCTCGATGGTACCATGGGAACTCTAGATCTATAGTTCTCAGTAGTGGCATCATCTCCAGGCAGACTTAATGTAAGAGGTGACAAAGGTGGATACAAGCTTCCAGTTGGCACCCCAAAAAGTCCCTCTTTAATTAAGAAAAAATTCCCAAGACCGCTCTCCTTGGCCTTCCCTGGGTTGGTGTCCATTCCTGACCTGCTCACTGTGGCTAGGCAGTGGGGTGCTTTGTTAGCCAGGCCGGAGTCAGCTGCCTCCCCGCATGGTGTAGAGGTTCGAGTCTGAGCCAGTTTGAGGAGCTCTTCATAAGCGGGGAAGAGACACCAGGCAGACAGAAGCAGATGATCCCCTCCATCCCCGGGCCTGTGGGCCGTTTGTGCAGAATGAGCAGTGTGGGGGGAGGGGAGCCTTGAATCTGGGCGAAGGAGTTTATGCTTTATCCGATGGCCAAGAGGGAGCTGCTGGGAGTGGTGCAGACAGAGCTTTGCCAGGGGCTGGGCCACAGGCGTGGACACCCCAGTGAGGGGCAGATTGGACCCCACCTCCTGAGACAGGAGGTCAATCCTCGAAGTGTGGTAATAGGACTCCTGCTGGGGCTGGGGCAAGCTCAGCGTTCTTTAAAGCAGCTGTAAATGGGATTTGCCCCAACATTATCTTATTTTAATAGCAATGTTATTCACTTTAAAGTGTGGATCTCTATGGAGATTATTGCTTCAGATGAGGTTGGAGTTCGCTTTTAGTGAGTTCCTTTGTAGAAAACATTAAATAAATAAGAGTACACGCGACCTGCAGACACGGCCAACGTTTTGAAAGTGAGAAATTTGGGGACCTCTTGCTCAGATCATCCTGGAATTCCGCCATTTCGGATGGTCTGCAGTCAATGCATCATGGCTGTTTACTTTTAGTTTTTGTGTGGGGGGCCTGCTCAGGGGCTTCTGCACATCACTGGGTTCTCGCGAGAGCCCCGAGGCGAGCTTTGCTGTTTTCCTCAAGGCTCCGAGCGGGGAAGTGACTGGCTCGGAGCCACAGCTGGCAATGTGAACTCTGCCCTCCGCCGCTGCCTACTCGGCCACGTGGTCGGGAGCCAGAGTAGAATCTGGGGGACCCCAGGTGTGGGGGGGCTACCCACTGTGGGCTCAGGGATGGTGTTTGGAAGGGGCCATGTGTGTGACTTGGGCCCTGCATGGGTCATCCCTGTAGGCTCTAGTCCCAGCTATTCCCCTGTCTGTGGGGGTGGTCTGGGCAGGGTTTCTGGGCCTGGCAGGTGGACCCACTGGCTTCTGGCTGACACCTCCCCAAGCAGACACAGAACTGGGGGTGCATTGGGCAAAATACCAGCTAGAGACTAGCATTACCAGCCTGGAGGGTCATTTCTCTGCCCAGGGTACCAAAGTCCACTCTTCCCGGACAGGCTTGCTCTGTTCTCCGGAGAGCTCTCGTCTTCATCTGATCCAGACGAGGAACTCCGGGTCGCCTTTGCCTGGCTGGGTCTGGGTTTCCAGCGCCCTCCCTAGTGGGCTAACCTAGGCTTTGGATTGAGTAAAAGCCTCATGACTGGACTAACCTTATATTCGGTTTTCAGTAGGGGTCTTCTTTGTGGGCAAATCTTAGATTTATTATTTAGGAGACAATTTATAAAGCTAACGTCAACATGGGTGTTTCATGGGACGGAGGATTCAAGATTGCTGCTCATTAAAGATCACTTTCCAAACCAGTGTCCCCACCCTCCTGCCCTCTTTCTTTCTTAGCTGCATAAATGCCCACATTTAATTCCACACACAATATAGACTTACAGACGGAGTGTGTGTGAGAGAGCAGCGGCCCCCTGCCTTTGAATTCACCTGTCACTTGTGGGACAGGAGAAGGTGGGAGAAGTGGGGAGTGATCCATGGGGAGAGTCAGCCATTTCTAAGGGGCAGTTCTTGGGAACATCCTTGGGCTCCCCAAAATCTTGTGTTTCTGAGGTAAATTCAAGAATCTGAGGCAAGTATTCCAAGGGAGGGATAGGGACCAGAGGGAGGCTGTTCGGGGTCCCTCGATCCCCAGGCCCGGGCCCACCATCTGCTGTGCCTCTCTTCCAGGCCCCCGGGAGCCAGAATGCTGCGTGGCTGGGCCGCCCCCCTGCTCCTGCTGATGCTCCAAGCCGGTGAGTGGCTGGTCCACCGTCTGGGAGGGCCGGGCTGGCCTGTGGGCTCTGGGTCATGACTAGCGGCCCAGAGTCAGAGTCATAGCAGGTGTCCACTCGAGGCTGCCACAGGTGGAGCAGCCAGCTGTCCATGAACCAGATCCATCCAACCAGAGAGCTTCGTTAGGCAGGAGTGGTTCGGGCGGGTCTCAAGCGCCCCAGCCCCCAGCTGGGCCTCCGGTCTCACTGGGGAATGCGAGTCTGCACCCTTCATTCCCATGGCTCCAGCCCTCCGAGTGAGGAAGTCCTGCCTTGGGTTCCACCGCAGTTTCTCCTCGGGGGTGGTCTTCAGCGATCAGGGACCCTCAGCAGGCACCCATGTCCCACGGGGGGAGAGTGGAGGTGGAGTCGGAAGTAGCCAGAGCCTCGGCCGTCCTCTGGAGGACCAGGAGATGTAGTCCGCGGGGGACCCCAGAGCCGGAGCTGGGCAGGCCAGGAGTTAGGCGTGGGGGCGCAGTCAGGGCTGAGGTCCAGGAAGCCTTCCCAGAAAGGGGGTTACACACAGGCTCGAATGGGGCTGGACGGGGGCAGGAGGGCGCTCGGCCGCCGCTCGGCTGACCGTCTGCAGTTCTCTCCGGTTTCTACTTCAAGACCCAGAGCCTTGAATAGCTCCTTCAGGAACCAGGCCGGGCTCCTTGTTTCACCTTTCGGAGTGGGCAGCCCTCTGCCCTGGCTCCAACAGGCCCTGGGAGTACCCGCGGGCACCAGTAACAGGTCCCCGCTGCGCCCCGGGTGCCAAGCAGCACCTCATTGCGCTCTCCTGGCAGCCCACGAGGCCCTGCTGAGGGACGCCCAGGTCTCAGAAAAGAGGCTGAGAGAGGGTGAGGGCAGGTCCATGGCCACACCGCCGGCGGCAGCACTGGGACCGGCTCACAAACCTGCCTGATCCCGTGGTTTTCACCACCGGGCTGTGCTGCTCTCTCTGAGCATGCGCTGCCCGGCCTGCGGCAGCCGCTCCCTCCACACCCTGCAAGGGGCTGGTGGCCCAGTTCACAGATGTGGCCCGGAGCAGTCGGGACTCATGTCCACCCTTGGACAACCCTGGTGGGGGATGGCCCTGAGGCTCGGGTCCCGGGTCAGGGTACTACCCAGGGGACGGTCCCTGATGTCACCTCCGTGTTAGTGCAGGGGTGCTAGCCCCTTCCCAGTTTCGTTCCAAGTTTGGGGCACACCCTGTCCCTTGGTGGCCTTGAGCCCAGCTAGGGCTGGCAGCTCCTCTCCAAGTTCTGAAGCCCGGAGAGAACTACCAGGATATGAACCCGGAGGAGAGGCAGAGACTGAGCTCCTGCGGCTCAGGGCTGAGGTCCCGCCAAGATCAGTCCTCCATCCTCCACACCGAGCTGACTGACGAGCCCCCTGAGCCCTCTGCCCCGCACAGGCCCTGCCCCCTGAGCCCTCTGCCCCCCCCAGGCCCTGCCCCCTGAGCCCTCTGCCCCCCCCAGGCCCTGCCCCCTGAGCCCTCTGCCCCGCACAGGCCCTGCCCCCTGAGTACTCTGCCCCTCCCCCCCAGGCCCTGCCCCCTGAGCCCTCTGCCCCCCCCAGGCCCTGCCCCCTGAGCCCTCTGCCCCTCCCCCCAGGCCCTGCCCCCTGAGCCCTCTGCCCCGCACAGGCCCTGCCCCCTGAGCACTCTGCCCCTCCCCCCCCGGCCCTGCCCCCTGAGCCCTCTGCCCCCCCCAGGCCCTGCCCCCTGAGCCCTCTGCCCCCCCCAGGCCCTGCCCCCTGAGCCCTCTGCCCCCCCCAGGCCCTGCCCCCTGAGCCCTCTGCCCCCCCAGGCCCTGCCCCCTGAGCCCTCTGCCCCGCACAGGCCCTGCCCCCTGAGCACTCTGCCCCTCCCCCCCAGGCCCTGCCCCCTGAGCCCTCTGCCCCCCCCAGGCCCTGCCCCCTGAGCCCTCTGCCCCTCCCCCCAGGCCCTGCCCCCTGAGCCCTCTGCCCCTCCTACAGCAGGAGTGTTTGCGCACTCAGCTCTGGGGCGGTGAGCAGGCTCCTGAGACCACGCCCACGGGAGAGTGTGGCCATCGATTGGCTGTTTGCCCCGTGTGTGTGTGTGTGTGTGTGTGTGTGTGTGTGTGCGCGCGCGCGCGAGAAGGACTGGCACAGATCAGGCTTCCTGGGTGCCAGGTGTGGTGTCCTGGGGGGGGGGGGACTTCCCAGGGCAGTGCTCTTGGCTCCGAACCCAGCTTCTGACCTGAGCGAGGTCCAGAGAGGGAATGGCCCACAGCTCTTGGGTCTTCATTAGTCAAGGAAAAAGCCACTAACAATGAATCCACTTAGGAAGGGGAACACAGTCCTGGCCGGTTTGGCTCAGCGGTTAGAGGACCAGCCGTGGACCAGAGAGTCCCGGTTCGGTTTCCGTTAAGGGCATGTACCTCGGTTGCAGTTTGTCCCCGGCCCCAGTTGGGGTCGTGTGGGTGGCAGCCAGTCCATGTGTCTCTCTCACATTGATGCTTCTCTCTCCCTCCCCCCCACCCCCCCTCTGTCTGAGGATAAATGCAAAACTGTCCTCGGGTGAGGATTAAAAAGAAAAGAAGGGAACACAATCCTGGTAAATAGTGGGGAAATGGCAGTGTTGGCACATGGTCTTACCAAACAAAACTAAAACATATTACATGTATTTTGTTAAACATTGAAAAAATTAGATTATGGCTGCACATCTATATTTCTAATATATAATTTATCGGGGTGGCATTGGTTAATAGGATCACACAGGCTTCGGGTGCGGGTTTCTGTTACAAGATCTGTGTATGGTCCTGTGGTCAGACCACCCCTCCGCACCTGTGTTCTAGCACCAAGTGACGCAGTCGTGTTGGGTGGGAGGGTGCTGCGTCTTCCAATCCTGCTGCCTGAGTGGGCGGCCCGCGGGTCACTCGCTGGTGGCGGTGTGGGTCTGGGCGGCTGGACAGCGCAGACATTTTGGCAGAAGCATTCAAGGGCGTCTCAGTTTTCCAAGGTGTCCTTCCTCCGGGGCGCTTGTGGCGTCACTGAGGCCGTGTCCTGTCCTGGACCAGCTGCTGATGGCTGCTCCTTGTCAGGGATCATTGACGTCATGAAGGCCTCTCGCAGGATGTGTGGTTCGCCCTGCATCAGGGGAGGTCGGGGCACTGGGAGGGAGACTGGCCAGGAGGGACGCTGACCTGGGGGCTGGTCACAGGGTTGTGGGGAGAGAGCTGAGGTGGGACCCATTTAGTTGATTCTGTTTGACATTAGGAGTGCCTGTCTCCATAGCTAGCCTTGAAACTTCGGCGGCTCAAACAAGGAATCAGGTGACAAGGACCTCCTTGCCTCAGTCTGACATCTTACAACCCCTGAATTGCTATATTCACCCTGACCCTGGAGCCCCTGCCTCCCCTCACCCTGCAGCCTGGGTGGGGGGCTGGGGGGAGCTTTGCAGTCCCTCCTGACCCCCACTGAGGCCTCTCCCTCACCCTGCAGCCTGGGGTTGCTCGGACCTCGTCTGCTACACCGATTACTTCCAGACGGTCACCTGCACCCTGGAGACCTGGGCCCTCCACCCCAGCACGCTCACCCTCACCTGGTAAGTGGCTGGGTCTCACCAGCCCAGGGGTGCTACTCAGGGGAGCATGGTCCTGGGGCGGGGCCGTGGGACACCATGCACTGAGTTGGACCTACTATGTGCCAGGCAGGCAGGTTGGCAATAAAAATACTAGCTGCCACTTCCTGGGGGCTCACTCAGCGACTCCACCAACAGCATCTGGTTTCACCCCAAGGAAGACTGGGAGGTGGGAGTCACTGCCCATCTTACAGACAACCGCACGGGGCCCATGAGGCCTGTCCAGAGAATGTGTTGAGAGGTGTAGGGCAGCTCTGTCCGGCTCCAGAAGCCATACTCGGTCACGCACACAGGCCTGACTGGCTTTGAGACACACCCTCCCCCCCCAAAGACCGGACTCCTGCACGATTCCTGTGAGCACGTAGTACAGGCCAGGCAGCCTGCCCCGTGTTCCTCATGAATGGTCACCTCCAGTCCTCACAGTTAGGACTCACATTACGAGTGAGGACACTCAAGTTCAGAGAGGTTACGCCCAAGGCCACATAGCCAGTGAATGGTGTCCCTGGGACTCAAACACAGGCTGCCTGACTCCAAAATCCATGGGTCCCTATAAGTCCACATTGTTAAAGAAAAAATCGTTCATGACACTTGTTAAAGAATGCCAGGGCAGACTTATTTAAGACCAGCACGGTGGGCATAGGAACCCCGCATGGGGTTTTGCTGACTGGACTCCAAACGCAACAAGAAGTTGGAATTTGCAGCCAGGGAGCAGGGTGGGGTCAGTGGACTGGAAGCCACTAGGGGGAGACATCAGGGCTCAGGGGCTTCGGGCTAACAGGACTCTTGCAGCCCAGGGGCTCAGACATCACCTGGGGATGGTGGAAGGCGAGGAACCCAACTTGGTATTGAGGATGGAGGATTCTGGCTAAACTGACTTAGCAGGAGTCTTGCTAAAAGCAGAAAATGCCAAGACAGACACAGAAACCCGGGAGTCAGGAGAGCTCAGAGGAGCCTGAGGAGAGTTTGGCAAGAAGAGATTCTGTCCATATGCTGCTCAGGATGAAGACTGGCTGGTTCCACTCCACTCTCATTCCCTCATTCATTCATGCAGAACACATTTTTTAAAAAAATATTTTTTCTTTATTAATTTTAGAGAGAGAGGAAGGAAGAGGGAGAGAGAGAGGCAGAAACATCGATGAGAGAGAACACTGATTGGCTGCCTCCTGCACGCTCCCCACTGGGGATCGGGCCCACAACCTGGGCATGTGCCCTGACCGGGAATCGAGCCGGCGACCACTTGGTGCATGGTCGACGCTCAACCACTGAGCCACCCTGGCCAGGCGCAGAACACATTTATTAAGCTCCTGCCTGACACTGGTGACTTAGTAGAACCCCAAACCGACGAGGTCCCAGGTGTCCTGGAGCTGACACATGGCAGTGGGAACAGCTGGTGAGACAGATAATGAACACACAGGCAGTGGACAGGATGTTTTCTGATAACAATGAGTGCTGTAAAGAACAGGAAACTGGACCACGGGGGAGAGAGCGGGTAGCCTGGGGAGGGCCGAAGGGGTGAGCGCAGCCTCTCTGGGTAAGAAGGAGGCAGCCAGTGAGCTGGGTAAAGGGAATTCCAGGCAGGGGTCACCCCTGGGGGGGGGGGAGCTGGTGAGTTGGAGGAACAGTGAGAAGGTGAGGTGGCCAAAGTGGACTGAGCCAGTGGGAAGGAAGACGACACATACGACATGTTGGCAGGGGCCTGGTTATGCTGTGTGGGTGGCAAGAAGCCACTGCGCAGTTTTAGGCGGGGGAGTGACAGGGAGTCTTTAAAGGCCCCCTCGGCTGCTGTGTGAGTGAGAGAGGTCGCAGGGCGGGCGGCAAGGCAGGGCGCCAGACAGCCGTGCAGGGCCCCAGCTGGAGAAACGGCTGTTCCAGCAAACATTTGGCGGAGATCTGGATCTACATATCCACACTGGCCCTCGAGGGTGGGCATGTTCAGAGCCTGAATTTGTAGGCAGGGAAAAAAAAAAAAGTAGTTGGCAAACTTCTATATATACTTCAAAACCCACCGTTTCTGCCCAGTGGGAGTTAAAAAGCCAGAGCATTTCCTCCAACCCCATGTTAACAGCCTCCTGGAAGTTCACCAGAGCAGGGCTGGAGCTTTATAGGGCTCTTAGCTTGGTCCTTAGCACAGGTGGATTTTGAAGGGGAGGACAGTGGGAAGGAGACCTGAAATGCTTAGTGCCCTTCCTACAGGGCAGTGATCCAGTTGATGCTACTGACAGCGACAGATTTAGGCTTGGTTCAGGCAAGGATGGCCCACGTTTCTGAAGTTGAGAGTTGCTGCTCTAAAGGACGTAGTGAGTTCCTGGTTTCTTGGAGGTGTGCAAGCTGAGCCTGGACTCAGTCCATCAGGGGTGCTTCAGGGGATAGTACACCTTCCCTGGGAAAGGGTGGGTTGGACTAGGTGACCTCCAGCCCCACCTCAAGTCCTTCCCTCCCGACATCCTGGGCTTGTGCCCTGGCCCTGTGCACTGAGTCCCGCCGGCCTCCAGCCGTGACTGGCTGCTCTGTCCTTGAAGGCAAATCCCGGACGAAGAGGCCACCTCTTGCAGCCTCCACCAGGCCAGCCACAATGCCACGCATGCGAAGTACACGTGCCACATGGAGGTGTTCCCCTTCATGGCCGATGACATTTTCAGTGTCAACGTGACAGACTCCTCTGGCAACCACTCCCAAGAGTGCGGCAGATTTGTCCTGGCTGACAGCAGTGAGTACTCCTTGGAGAACCCAGGTGGGGGCTGGACCCCTGCTCCCCGGGCCGGCTTCCACCGGGCCCCGCAAGCTGACCTGTCCTACGCCCGGCTGCTCCTAGAAGGCTGCCGCTTGGCTGCACTGCTGTTTACTAGGGTGTGGTGGGTGGCAGCCAGGTTTGGGCCTGAAACAGAGCGAGGCCGCCGAGGAATGGAAGGAGCTGGACTGGGACCGGGACCTTGGGCGTCGTTCTGGTTCAGCCCCTGCCCGCCGGTGACCTCGCACTGCAGAAGGAGAGCCCTTTACTCTGACCCTCTAGGAGTCTGTCCCACTATGAAGCAAGTGGGGGACGGTCACAGGAGAAACCTCCTCAGGTCGTCTCCCATTCATTAGCTCCAGTGAGGCCTGGGATTTCCCTCCGAGCTGGAGGTAGGGAGGAGGCCACGGGGCAGAGGGATCTGGTTGGTGAAGCAGTTGTCTTTGTGGGTCCACAACCAGCATGGGACAGGGAAGGGCCCGGGAGGCAGCGTTCAGTGTGTGTGTGTGTGTGTGTGTACCCAAAGCGGGGTGTCCGGGTAGGGGTGAGAAGCCCACTCCCAAAGGCATGCAAACACAAAGTGCAAAGAGCATCCTGCCCTGAGGACGGCTCAGGCCCTGAGGTGTGGGAGTTTCTGTCCCTAGATCCCCAGTGGTGGGCGAGGGGATAAGCAGCTGTCTGTCATTCACACTCTGGTGGTCCAGGCTTGCACCGCTTTCCTTAGTGGTTGTCACACCACAGAGGGTGTGAGCAAAGCTTCACACACATCCAGACACACAGACACACGTGCACACACACAGACGCACACTCATCAATACACTCTTAAAGGCACAGATGTCCCACCAACCTCTGGCCTAGCGGCACGGGCACAGATGCCCATCTCTCTCACATGTGTGCACACGCGCACACACACGCACACACACATGTATGCACACACATGCATGCACACTCACTCAGCCATTTAGATCCAGGTGTGGTGAGTGCCATCCTGCCTCTCTGGGAGCTGGGCAAGCAGTGTCCCTGCAGCCGGGAGCACAGGGCGGGGCTGCACTCCACCTTGCAGGGAGGCTCCGTCTCGTTTCTCTCTGCCCCCCCCCCCCCCGCCTGGGTCTGTGCTCAGATGTGGCAGGAGATGGCATTCTGCCCTGTGCACCCCTCCCCAGCCCCTTCCTCCTCCTGTGCCCTGGGCTCCACCAACATTTCCTGAGGTCCTCCTTGGGTTGGTCCTCACCAGCCAGCCCAGGCCACATAAGGAGGCAGACAGCCAGGCCCACCGGCCCGGGCAAGAGACAAGGGCTTGGGGACTATTCCAGTTCAGAAGGACCCACCACTGAAGTAGCAACGGAGCATCACCACGGCCTCGTGGATGTGCTGTCTCGAGCCTCAGGCCGTGGGGCAGACCCCAGAGCAGCTTACACCTGAATTTAACAAGCATTTCTTGAGGGCCTACTGTGTGCAGAACTCTGTCTGGGAGGTGCGGGAGCAGCACTGACCAGGACAACCATCCCTCTGCCCCAGGAAGCTGAGATCCCCAAGAGGGTGCGGCTGGTGAATGGGGTCACAGAGAAAGTGAGATGGTGGCAAACAGAGCTCAAAGAAGGCGGGGTGTACACGTGCCTGTCACTTCTCTCTTATTGGGGTGCACCTGTCACTCGGTCCCCCAGAAGTTACCTCCTTCTCTGCTTAGTTTGGCCCCGTGAAATTTCACCCTGTGCGATAGGAATGGATTCCCTTTCACAAGAGAGGATAGGAAGGCCCGGACCTTGGTGTGTTCTGCTCTGGCTGTAAAACTCATTTGGGGGGGCGCCCAGGGACCTGGTGATGTGGTCCGATCCCTGCTCTTGCACTACCCAGATGTCTGAGACGAGAGCAGATGACATCGGGGGCCACTGCAGGGCGTCACACTGCTCAGTGCGGAAACTGCAGCGGTGGGTGCTCATCCTGAGCCCACACGGGGCACCACTAATTATGGAGCAATTGTGTGCAGCAGAATCCATCGGCACCCATGCTAGTTAGAGTTTTCTGACTTCTCACGGAAGCTGGGGCTCAAAGGATTGACATCCCCCTTTAAAGCCGAAATAGAGGACCCATGGTGTGGCCAACAGGTAGCTTAGAAAGGTTTTGGATTAGTAGCTAACTTTAACATTTAAGAGAGTCCCACAGTAATCTGAATTTTCTGAGTTTTTCCTTCCTGGCCCCTTGGTCTGCCTTCCTGGCCGGCACAGCGGCTGGGCCTGAGTCCTGCGCCCTCTTTAGCCGGAAAAGGGGCAGAGGGCTCCTGATAGTTCAGTGGTCAAACCCGCTTCACCCGCTTCTGCCCCCTGCCCGCCCCTTGGCTTGCAACCCCCGTCTAGTCGAAGCCTCTCGTTTTCCAGAAGAATAAGCTGAGGCCCGAGACAGGAGGCGCCTCACCCTGTCACGCGGGGTTACTAATCCTGACCATAAAGGCTGGGTCACCAAATCTTTCCCAGCTGCCACAGTCTCACCCCAGCTTATCTTTCTGGCTTTTCTTTAAGTCCAGCCGTGTCCTCCTTCCAACGTCACGGTGGCCTTCTCGGGGAACTACGACATCTCTTGGAGCTACCAGCACGACTGGTACGCGCTCAAGGGCAAACTTCAGTACGAGCTGCAGTACCGGAAGCGGGGAGACCCCCAGACTATGGTGAGACTGCAGAGGATCGGGGTGGGGGGGCGTGGGGGCGGGGAGCGCCGGACAGACAGTGAGCTGGTCACACACGGCCAAGGACGGGAGGTCCCCTTGCACACTCTCGCTCGGTGCTGCCCTCTCCTCTTTCTCCCTGGGGTAGGGGACCCCTTAAAACAGTTCCTTCCCACCTGTTTCCTCCCCTCTCAGCTGCCAAAGAGGAGGGGTTGGTGCTTCTGCAGGTCCCACCTCAAGTCTAGCGACAGGAGGGGTTTCCGGAGCAGGGCCATTTGGAACCTTCCCCTCTGCTTAGGATGGTGTAGTTGAGGCGTTCCAGAGTCATCCAGCCCAAAGTCCAGAGTCCGAGGGACATTGTTGCCATGCGAAGGTTCCAGAGGTGTCCTTTGTTTAGAAGGTTCTAGAACAGTCCGCTACTCAGAAGAGTTCTAGAATTACCTCCCCTTGCGAACGGTCCCAGTGGAAGACCTTCATGAACGCCCTGTTTAGAATGTCCCCCTGGGGACTTCCAGAGAGTTCCATGGCTAAGATTCCTGTCGCTGAAGACTTTCCAATGCCCACGGGTGAGAATGCCCCCGTGGAGGAGCTCTAAGCACCTGCTGTCTGGAGCGCTGCCCCTCACACGAGCCAGGAGTGGCCACTGCTGCTCCCGGCGCCTGCCCAATCCCAGCACAGGTCCCATCCCGTGGGATCAGACAGAAACGGAGCAAAGCGTGTGTCACAGGCGCGGCCGAGACGGTGCCTCGGCTCTGCACTGCCCACGCGGAGTGGCCGGAGCTCGAGCTGGGGCCTGAGTCCCGTGGAGGGGGCCTTGCAGAAGTTCAGCCCCTTCCATGGAGAAGTTCGCCTGACCCGGGGCCGCCTTCCCCTGTGCCGCAGAGTCCGAGGAGAAAGCTGGTCTCCGTGGATTCAAGGAGAGTGTCCCTCCCCCCCTTGGAGTTCCACGCGGGCTCCAGCTACGAGCTGCAGGTGCGGGCGGGGCCCCAGCCCGGCTCTTCCTTCCGGGGGACCTGGAGTGAGTGGAGTGACCCAGTCGTCTTTCACACGCAGCCGGAAGGTAGGTGCGGGGCCGGGGTGGACACCCCACCGTCTGTGTCCTGAGCCCTGAGCTTTCCGGCGTGGTTACGAGGTGTCCACGCAGTGGGGTCCCCCCCACTTGACGTTTCTGGAGCTGCTGCTGACCAGGCCGTGTGCGGGGTGCCGGGGCTCCTCCGGGCAGAGGGTGCACACCCCTGACAGCTGTGAGTGGACGTCGTTGTCCTCATTCTGCAGCTGAGAGATCGGAGGTGGAGTGGGATGTGGCCCCGCCCAGCTCACTTCAGGACACCAGCGGCCCCAGCCCCTTCCACTCCACCCTGGGCCCTCGCCCACCACGCCAGCCCACATGGCCTCCAGAAGAGGGGTTCAGTTTGACCTGGTATTTGCTTCTTTCCCAGAGACCAAGGGCGGCTGGAACACCGACCTGCTGTATGTCTCCCTGGTCCTCACGCTCCCCGTCCTCGTCTACTTAGGCCTCAAGATCCACCTGCCCTGGAGGTGAGGCCGGGACTCGGAGGCGGGGGTCAGCTTGGGCCACAGCCCCTCTGTCACTCATCAGGGCTGGGGACACACCTGTCGTCATGACGGTGGTGGTGGCGACGACCAGCTCCCCGTTTCCTACGCGCTGAGCACCGGGCAGGGCACTCACTCAACCTCACAGCAGCCCTAGGGGCTCCATGCACAGCAGTGACCTCCATTGGACAAAGTGGGAAACTGAGGCACAGAGCCGTCAACGGCGTCAAACGTGCAGCTATGAAACGATGCGTCATAGCCCTAAGTCTCACGGCTACAAGAAAAACGGTGGCCTTTGACCCCTGTGCTCTCAGCAGGGCCTCGGCCCCGATTCTCTCGGTGAATTTTAAGGTGTGGGTCCTGAGGGGTGTGAGGCACGGCAGGTGGGGTGAAGGGTATGACAACCCGCCCCCGCCCCCGCGGCCTCCACCGAGAGTGTGCTCCTATTTGTGTGTGCACCGGTCTCCTCCGCGCCTGGTCGCTCAGAAAGGGCGCTGCCGGTGAAAAGTAACCCTGAGCTCCGGCCCCTGAGCTGGGCCCAGGCGGAGCCGCAGCCTGTGCTGCGCAGGGTGGCGGCTCGTCCCGTCATCTCCACCAAAGCCGGAGACAGCCGAGGCAGAGAAGCTGGGGGGGGCCGTGGCTGTCAGGGGCACTCTGGGCGCTGGGCGCACTCGCCGAACCCCGCAGCCCGAAGGAACTGGCTCTTCGCCCAGCCGGGGCCGGAGGGGGAAGCCAGGCTCAGGGCAGCCGCCGCCATGCTCCGCGCACCTCCGGGAGCCTGCGGGGACTTGCTGGCCCTGCTCACAGATGTGGACGTTGGGGCTCAGGGCAGGCGGGCTGGGGGCAGGTGGGGAGGAGGTACTCGGGTGTGTCTTGGAAGCAGAGCCTCCTGCAGGACGGAGTTGGAAGCATCTGGGGGGAGTGGGCTGCCCTCCAGGAGATCGGGGGGCTCACCTTGTCTCTGCCCTCTCAGGCTGTGGAAGGTGTGGGCGCAGGTGCCCAGCCCAGAGCCATTCTTCCAGCACCTGTATGTGAGCCACAGCGGAGACTTCAAGGTGAGAGCTGCCCGCCGGTGACCAGCCCCTCGAAGCCCCCTACCCTTCCGGGGAGCCCTCCCCTCCCCCAGCCCCAGCCCCAGCCTGCAGGCCCAGCCAGGCCAGAAGCCAGGCCTCAGTCTTGGCATCTGTAAAGTTCAGGAAGTAGTTCGGGGCAGAGTTAAACACCATGCAGCTTTCTCCAGCCCAAGGAGCCAGCTGGGGTGGGGTGGGCCAGGGGCACCCTCGGCCACAGATCGGCTTCCTGGTCCTTCGCTGCCACATGGGGTTGGAGAGGGAGCGGGTTCTGGGAAAGCATGGCCCCGCCTGCAGACTACACCCCCCCGCCCCGCTTCAGCCGTGGCAGCCGCCACCTCCCACAGCTTGTCTGGGGTTGTCTGGGCCCATTTACCGCTCAGCACCACCCGGTGGTGGCGGTGGTGGGAGGGGCCCTCCCACAGAGAGGATGTGGTGACAGCTTGGAAGTCAGGAAACGTGGACTCGAGCATTGATTGAGCCCCTGCTGTCGGCCTGGAGCCGAGGTTGCTCTGCCCCCACCCTCTTCGTTCCCCCACAGCAGGGCAGGGTGTTCCGTCCCCAGGGGACCTGAGGGCGCCCGGCTCGGATCCCAGAAGTGGCTTTAGTGGGGCAGGGGAGGAGCGTGGACTCCAGCCCACGCGGGACGGACCCAGGGGCCCCAACATCACATCTATTTTGTGTTCGTTTTACCCAGACTCACATAGACGGGCTGTGTCCCGGGCACCCTGCTGGGAGCCTCTCGGGTGTTAGCTCATTACCCTCACGACAGCCTGTGAGTGGCACTACTGCAGGCCCGCTTTACAGATGAGGAAACCGAGGCACACAGAGTACGCAACGGCCTCGAAGCACAGCTGAGAAGCGATTTCTAGTCAGTGGTGGTGGCTACATCAGGACTCTGAGACGAGCTCGCCAAGGGCGACAGGCTCGGGTCTGGGGGAGTCCCGGTCTCAGGGGTTCTCTGCCGACTGGGTGGGGGCCCTGTGTCACGAGGGGGTCCTCGACCCTTGGGGCCCTGCCTCAGGCCGTCAGGACCCGTAGGCCGTACCCTCCAGCACATGTAGGCTGTTCCCAGGGGCTTTTCACTGATACACTCGACTCATTCGTTTGGTTCATTAACATTTATTGGCCACTTACTCTGTGCCAGGCTCCGTGTGAGCCTCGGGGACACAGTTATGACCGGAACTGGGCTTCTGCGCTGGCCGAGTGTCTGTAGTGGGGACACAATCGGAGAATGCCAGGGTTTCAAAAAATGTCCGGAGGAAATGAAACGGGACCAGGTGGTGGCTCTGCCACACGGACCTCGGACTGCTGCCCCCATGTCACCACAGCTGGGAGTTTGGGCACCTGCAGGCCACCGAGCCACCCACGGTCTGAGTTTATAGCTACCTGGCCCCGTCTCACCCATGACTCTCCCTCCCTGTTCTCTCTCACAGAAATGGGTGGGCACACCCTTCACTGCCTCCAGCCTGGAGCTGGGCCCCGGGAGCGCAGGGGTGTCCTCGACCCTGGAGACGCACAGCTCCTGCCCGCCTCTGAGTGCGGCCCAGGGGCTGGAGGCCACGCTGCTGCCCGGGCCTGTGGGGCTGCTGCCGGAAGCCGGTGGGGTGCCCGAGCCGGGCCCCGTGGCCAGCTCCGCGTACAACCCGGAGGGGGACCGGCCGTATGGTGTGGTCTCAATAGACACGGTGACCGTGGTGGATGCTGAGGAGCCGGGCGCCTGGCCCTGTACCTGTGGGGAAGACGGCTACCCAGCCCTGAACCTGGACGCTGACCCGGAGCCTGGCCCGGGCACTGAGGACCCGCTCCTGGACACTGGGGCCACCGTCCTGTCCTGTGGCTGCGTTGCAGCTGGTGGCCATGCAGGGCTGGGGGTCCCCCTGGGCAGCCTCCTGGACAGACTAAAGCTGCCCCATGACGACGAGGCGAGCTGGGCGCCAGGGCCGCCTTGGGGCGGTGGGTCGTCCAGAGGGATGTCTGAGGGTGAGGCGGGCTCACCCTCCGCTGGCCTGGACATGGACACGTTTGACAGCGGCTTTGCAGACTCTGACTGTGGCAGCCCCGTGGAATGTGACTTCGCTGGCCCCAGGGATGAAGGGCCCCCCAGGAGCTACCTCCGCCAGTGGGTGGTCATGGCCCCTCCGCCTGCAGGACCTGGGCCCCAGGCCAGCTAGTGAGGCTGACTGGCTGTTGCGAATTGGCCGTGGCACTGGGCCACGAGACGTGGCCACCGGGCTGTGGTGTGTGGAGGCCTGCAGCCTTGGTCTCCCCGACGGGGCTGTGAGCCTGGCGTTTATGCTGTGTGGGGCTCAGGAGCACACTGGTGTGTCTGTGTGTGAACACGCATGACTATGTGCACACGTGGCAGTCCACCTCCCTGCCAGGTGCATGGGTGGCCCCTGGGTCACATGCTGAGAGTCTGGCCCAGTGCTGCCGCAGGGCCTCCCGGGACCAGGGACAGACAGCAGACCCCGGCCTCCAGGTGCTGTGCCCCTCGGAGGCACGAGAAACCCTTATTGTTCCGTATCACACGTCAGGTGGGAAGATGAGGGGACAGTATGAGCCGAGTGCCCGTGTCTGCTGGGGTTTCCTGTCTGGACCATGTGGATGGCATGACCATGTGGATGGCACGGACAGTCAGTGAAGTCACCCATCTAGGGTGCAGCCCAGAGACCCTCAATAAATGTCAGCTTCCTTCTGCGGTGGGACCCAGGCGTGTGCTGGAGGCCGGTGGGGGCGAGAGAGCAGCCGCGCCTGGGCCTGTGGGCGTCCCCACCCTGCAGAGGGGCGCTGGGGGTGGGGTGTTTCCGGGTTTAGAATCAGTCAGCCTCGTCTCTTCAGACAGCCTCCCACCAACCAAAAAGTTTTTTTCTGGCTCCTTCTGCCCATGTTTAACTTCCCTTTATGCAGCCAAGAAATGTGTCCTGAACACAGCGTGTGTGCTGGGGCGCTTGGGGCAGGGTGGGGGCACCAGGCCGGCCCCGGGCCGCGGGGCAGGCAGGCAGGAGGGTGCGGGATGACACAGCACTGGTTCCCCGGCACCTCACTTACTCATCCTGGGGAGGCGGGGGGAAATCAGTTCTATTGATGTTTTGTTAGTCTGTTGAACAGTGAATTAAGAACCAAGAAAACAGTTCTCAGCTGTGTTTTGAAGGCGCTTAGGAACATCTGCCTTGCACAGGCGGTGGGTAGAAATGCTGCATATTACACTCTACTCATATTTTTTCTTTCTTTTTTAAAGAAAATAGATTGTTTCCCCCCTAAGTGTACTGACCTTTAGAGGTGGTTTTTCCAGACCACCATGCTGGTGCAGGCAGCTGCAAGTCTGAATCAGAGGCCGCTCCCCGGCCGGAGGGGATCCCCACGGGCGAGCCGTCATCCTGCCCGAGGCCGGCTGCAGGTCCACGCGCTCGGGGGGACAGCTCTGGCTCATGTCTCTCTCTTTGGACGCGTCTGAGCTCGAAGTTGGGCCAGCTGAAGGGTTCTCTGTTGCTCATCTGTAAAATTGGATGGTTGGGAAAAGTCGCTGAGAGAACACATGAGCCCTTGGGGTGGAAAGTTCTAGAACACTGATGTTTTCAGTAGTGGGACTACTAACCTGGATCAGGTTGTATGCGGCTCGGATGGTGGCACGGACATGCAGCCTCTGCTCCTGTGTGTGAACAGCCGCCCCCCCCCCCCCGCCCCGCCCCGGAGACACTGGAGCCCAGCCACGCTGTGGGCTTCTCCCCTCCTTGGGGGGTCAGGTCCCAGGAGCCACAAGGGCCACAGGCTCCCTGGGGCAGCTGCTCAGCTCTCCACACAGCGGGACGCTGGGAGGACGGGGACTCCTGTGGCTGACTGAGCCAGGCCCAGGGTCGGACGGGGGCTCTGGCCTGGGCCAGACATAGCTCTCGCCTGGCTCCAACTTCAACGGGACCCAACTCATAACGCGGGTGTAAAACAAAGACAGGGCTGGCCCCCCTGGGAGGATGGATTTGTAGGAGGTGGTGGATGCAGGATGGCTGGCCCCTTAGGTACATTGGTGGGCGAGATGGATAAGTGGGTGGATAGACAGATGGCAAATGCTTGAAGGAAGAACCGTTTGATGGATGGATGGAGACAAAGAGATGCTAGGGACAAAGATGACAGATCAAACGGAAGCTCCATGAGGGCAACAACTGTATTTTGTTCACTGTGTTATCCTCACTCTGGTATATAATAGGCACTCAGTCAAACCTGATTTGTAGCGTTTGCTTTTTCCATGGTTTACTTCCACCATGGCCAATTTCAAGTACCAACTTAATGACTCTAGAGGTGGAATTGGGAAGGGGTGTGCACCATTGACACCTCACTGGTAAAAGCCAGCCCTGGGACACCACTGATAGGAGCCGAGAGGGGCACCAGGAAGGGCGCCAGGAGGGAGGGTGGGGCTGCAGGGAGGGTGCGGTGTTCGTTGGACTTTGAAAAACAAATAGGAGTTGTCGGTGCTTCAGCAATTCAGGCAGATGGAAGAGCTCGAGCGAAGGCCTGGAGGTGTGACCAAGCCCTGAGCACCTAGAGGCGGGGAAGGTGGTTCTTTGTCACCCAAAGTCCAGGCCAGAATTGCTAATGACCTGCTCTTAAGAGGCAGGAGGACTGATAGCACCCCCCTTGTTTAGACACCACGTTCTGCTCCCAGCCCAGCCCTTTTCCAGCCAGGGCCCCGAAGGGGCGGGGAGAGCCATCTGGCAAACGAGACGAGGGTGCAGGATGGGCCGGCGACCTGCCTGAGTCCGACTCTGAATTAAAGCTCAGGGTCAGCCCTGGCCGGTTTGGCTCAGCAGTTAGAGTGTCGGCCCGCGGTCCAGAGAGACCCGGGTTTGGTTCCCGCTAAGGGCACGTACCTCAGTTGCAGTTTGTCCCCGGCCCTGGTTGGGTCGTGTGGGTGGCAACCACTCGATGTGTCCCTTTCACATTGATGTTTCTCTCTCTCTCTTCCTCTTTCTCTCTCCTACTCTATCTGAACAATAAACAAAAAAATGTCCTCAGGCAAGAATAAAAAAATAAATAAAAAAGAAACAAACAAAAAGCTCAGTCAGACTTGACTTCTGGTCTCCTGATCCCAAGTCCAGCTCTTCCTCACCTCGCTCTGCTGGTGGGGTCCTAGGTCGAGAGGGAAGAAATTCTTAGCAAACACCTGTAGGTGCCTGTTCTCCCTGTGCAGCACCCTTATGGGTGGCCGACTCCGGCTGTGGGGGTGGCTCTGACCCACGCTGGCCAACAGAGCTTCCCACCCCCTGGGGCCACAGCGCCGGTCCAGGCAGACGGGTGACCCAAGCCGGTCCAGGCAGTCTTTCTCCTGGGACTGCTGAGCTGTGGGGAAGGACTAAGCCTAGAGCTGCTGGGGGGCACCAGCAGGAAGTGGCTCTCCCAGCACCCAGGAAAGCAGAGTTGGGGGACGGACACATAGTCCTGGTGATATCCCTTGAGCTGCTGGATTCAGCCATGCCTGAAACTACAGGCCCCTGGACTTTGAGGTACATGAGTATGGAAGGTCCCAGCCCTTCCCCAGCTCTGCCCCAGACAGTTCTCGAGGGTTTTCCATCCAGAACGCTCTGAATCTGGACCTGATGTGGTCCTCTGCCAGGATCTGCAGAACCCCCGGATTCCAGCTTTCCAACTGGTCCCCATCAAGTCACTGGGGGCTCTCAGCCTGCTGCCATCCGGCCGGACTAGACAACCTACTTGGGGAAGGAGGGACCTTCATTTTACCTTTGGCGAAAGGAGGCCCAGAGGGGCACTGTTCCCAGTCACCCGGAGTTCGTGAACCTCACTCTACGTGCTGGGCTCCTTTTGACCTCCTCTTGTTGACTCCCATCGGGGCGCGGTTTGCCGGGCCTGGCTGCTGGCCCGTGCTCAGCCCTCACGGCCCATCCCAACCACACTGGCTCCAGACGCGGCCTCGGAGCCAGGAGCAGGCTCCGTGGAAGGTGAAGAGTAAGCATATGTGTTTCCCGTCCTGGGACCCACTCATTGCATCAGGTGTCAAGGAGCAAGACGTCTAAGTTCTCAACAATGAGGGACGTGCACAGGAAATGAGAGGAGTCAGGTCTTTGCTTACATGTCACCTTCTCAGTGGGACCTACGTCAGGTCCCTTACTCAAAAGTGCAGCACCCCCTGACCTAGTTTTAGTTTCTTCCATAACACTTATGACACTTTTACTTATTTATCATATTTACTCTATCGCACTGGCACAGGGATTTTGTTTTACTCGCTGCTCTGTTTCAGAGTCCACAATAGTGCCTGCAGGTGCTCAAAAATATTGAATGAATGGCAGAGTAGTGACTGAACAGCTGCAGCGAGAGGAGGGAGGGACTGAACCCAAGAGACACCCCCCTCTGCTCATCGCATGGGGTATCCCTAAGGGTCTTACCCCATCCCCAGTGGCAACAAATATGAAAGTTTTCTTTAAAAAAATTTTTATTTTAGATCACTTTTTGTCACGATGGCGGCGTAGGTAAATGTGGCATTGCCTCCTCCCACATTAAAATTACAACCAAACTAGTACACAACCATCATTCAGAACGGCCTGACATCGTGCTGAATGGAAGTGTTACAACTATGAAATTAAAGAAGAAGCCACATCGAGACTGGAAGGAGGGGCGGAGGTATGGACAGGCTGGTCCCACACTCATGTGTGGTGGATAAAAATCAGGAGGACACCTTGGCTGGGAAGGCCCTCCCTGAGGAGTGAGGGGGCCCCATCCCATACCAGGAGCCCTGCTCAGGGTTCCAGTGCCAGGAAGAGAGTCCCCACAACTTCTGGCTGGAAAAACCAGCGGGAACTGAGGCTGAGGGAGGGTGCAGCTGCAGGAGCCCCAGGCAGTTCCTCTTAAAGGGCCTCTGGGACAACTTCAAGTGTAACAACATTCACATCATGGGGTGCCAGAAGGAGAAGAGAGAGCAAGAAATTGAAAACCTATTTGAAAAAATAATGACAGAAAACTTCCCTAACTTGGTGAAGGAAACAGACATATAAGTCCAGGAAGCACAGAGAGTCCCAAACAAGATGAACCCCAAGAGGTCCACACCAAGACACATCATCATCAAAATGCCAAAGATTAAAGACAAAGAGAGAATCTTAAAAGCAGCAAGAGAAAAGCAGTTAGTTACCTACAATAAGAATGTCAGCTGATTTCTCAAAAGAAACTTTGCAGGCCCGAAGGGAGTGGCAAGAGATATTCAAGGTAATGAAAAGCAATGACCTACAACCAAGATTATTCTGTCCTGCAAAGCTATCATTTAAAGTCAATGGACATATAAAGGGTTTCCCAGACAAGACAAAGCTAAAGGAGTTCATCACCACCAAACCAGTATTATATGAAATGCTGAAGGGTCTTCTGGGAGGAGAAGAACAAAAATATGAACAATAAAATGGTAATGAACATGTATCTATCAACAACTGAATCTACAAACAAAATGAAAAGCAGAACAAAAACAGACTCATAGATATAGAGAACGCTTTGTTGCTTGCCAGATGGGTGGGGGCTGGGGGCTGGGTGAAAAAGATGAAGAAATTAGAAAGTACAAATTGGTTGTTAGACTGATGAACCTCAAAGGGAAGGGGGGAGGGAGGGCGGGATGAGATAAACCAAACAACTTCTATGCATATAATAACCAATGGACACCGACAATAGTGTGGGGAAGGCAGGAGGGGGGCAGGATTGGGGAGGAGGGGGTCAATGGAGAAGAAAGGGGGAACATCTGTGATACATTCAACAATAACTTTTTTCCTTCACCATCCATCTCCTCTGTGCCTCGGCACCTCTCCTCACCTGCAGTCACCACACTGTTGTCCATGTCCATGAATTCTCCCTCCTTTTCGTTTTTGCTCAGTCCCTCCAACCCCTCAACACTCACCCGCACACCCATCAGAGCTGTCTGAAGATTTTCTCGTAAAAACTGATGGCCCCAGCCTGGTGGGTGTGGCTCAGTGGGCGGAGCACCCTCCCATGGACTGAGAGGTCTCGGTTTGATTCCTGGTCAGGGCACGTGCCTGGGTTGTAGGCTTGATCCCCACTAGGGGCTATGCAGGAGGCAGCTGATTGATGTTCCTCTCTCACATTGATGTTTCTCTCTCTCCCCCTTACTCTCTCTCTAAAAAAAAAAAAAATCAATAAAAAATTTTAAATAAATAAATAAATAAATAAAAACTGATGGCCACAGAGAAGAAACCTTTGCATTCTGCTATCTAGGGGGTCTCTCAGCATAATGCTGGCTTCCCGCCCCAAGCCAACCCTGTCCCTGGAAAGTGGTGTCAAGGAGAAGGGCTTTGAGGTAGGATGGTCTGAGTTGGAAAGCCAGCATATCCACTTACTAGCTGTCAACCTTGCAAAAATTATTTGACCTCCTGGTGCCTCAGTTTCCTCATACGTGAAATGGGTATACTGATGGACATACATTTTATGTACATCTCACTGTTGTGACACCAGTGCCAAAAACAATGGTATATTCCAAGTGTTCAGAAAATGTTATTACTTTATCATCATTTTTGTGGACAAATCACACACCACCCCAGTGAGTTTTACTGAGCTCACCCTTAAAGGTGGAGCTACACTCTGGACTAAGGTGAACCAGCGGACACAGAGAGGTCGGGCTGCTGCTGCCACCTGCTGGTGACCACTGCACCTTGGCTGGCGGCAGCGGAAGGTGGTGCCCTCCGCGCTCTGCGGTCCAGGGGACGCCACCTGCGTCTGCCGGAAGCTGTCAGGTGACTTATCCAGGTGGCCCTAGACAATCGTCACAGCAGCCCTCTGTGATGGGAATATGCGATGAGGACCCAAGGTGAACTGGCAGGTTCTTTCTTGAATTCAACAAGGGCTGACTTTGAATCGGGTGAGTGGACCTGACTGGGCTCTGGGCAGTGCAGGTGGTGAGATAACCAAGGGGGAGATCACAGGTGTGCATGTACACAGATGCACATTTGCACACAGACAGGGAGACACACATGCACACACACATTTGGAAACCCTGGCAGAGTGGGTCAAGGCCCCAAGGATGGGTGGACAGGGGAAGCCAGAGGACAGAGATCGCTCTCAGCCCAGGGTGAGGGCAGCTGGGAGGGGAGGAGGGCTCGGGGGGAGGCCAGCAGCAACAGGACAGATGGGTGGGTGGGTGGAGGGCGGGGTGGGAACAGGCCGCCCCTGGTCCCTGCACGCAGGAGGCTGTGGGAATGTGCAGTGCTGGTTAGAGTAAGGCCCCGTCATCCCACTTGATAGTTGCATCCTCGTCCCTGTGTCCCAACTCCCCATGTGCCCAAAGGGTCCCTCCTCTAGGGGCCCAGGAAAGGCAATGAACTGATGAGCCCTGCGATGTGCTTAGTATTCCTCAGTCATCTGCCCCCCTGGGAGGGAGACATTCGAGAAGAGGAAGGTTCTGGGATGTGCATGTCAAGATGCCCACACCTACCTTCCCTCAGCACAATCCCAGATAATCAGCATCTGTGAGTATTTCATGTTTATAAAGCAGATCCCATCCAATATTCTACTTGATTTCAACAAAATTACTTAAAACACCATCTTTTACACTTGAATAAAAATGAAAAAGGAAGAAAAAAACAATGCTAAGACTTGGCCAAGCCTTGGCTGTGCTGGAGTTCAGGAGTCAGACCCGGAGTGACCAGTGACCAGGTCCCTGGTGGAGGGAGGACGGGGACACAGGGCCTCAGGCTGGGCCCAGCAGCGCCGCAGGTCCCATGCTCAGACGGTTTTGTAAGGGACAGAAGCTTCAGTGGCTGTCAGACCGAGCCCCGGGGTGGGGTCATGCCGACTGGGCAGGGGCTGGCGGGCATGTCCTAATTCCTGACCCAAACATTGTGTGTTCAACTGCCCTGGCCGGTTTTCTCAGCGGTTAGAGTGTCAGCCCACGGACCAGAGTTGTGGGTTTGATTCTGGTCAAGGGCACGTACCTGGTTGTGGTGCAGTCCCCGGCCTTGGTTGGGGTTGTGTGGGAGGCAACCAGTCAATGTCTCTCTCACACTGATGATTCTCTCTCTTCCTCTCTCCTTCCCTCCCATTTTTTTTTTTTTTTTTATCCTCACCCGAGGACATTTTTCCATTTTTTGTACAGATAGAGTGGGAGGGAGAGAGAGGAAGAGAGAGAGAGAGGGAAACATCGATGTGAAAGGGACACATCGAGTGGCTGCCACCCGCACGACCAACCAGGGCCGGGGACAAACTGCAACCGAGGTACGTGCCCTTAGCGGGAACCGAACCCGGGTCTCTCCGGACCGCAGGCGGACGCTCTAACCGCTGAGCCAAACCGGCCAGGGCTTCCCTCCCATTCTATCTGAAGATAAAGGGAAAAAAAGTATCCTCGGGTGAGAATTAAAAAAAGAATATGAAACCAATTTTTAAAGAAGCTGGCAACTCAAATAAAAATAAAAGGAACTTCCATGGACCAAACCCACGCCACAGGCCGCGATCTCTGCTGCCTGGCCCTGGCTGGTCCTGCCCAACACACCCGACGAGCTTCCTAGTCACGGACCGGGCGTGGGCCGGCTGAGGGGCAGGGGCTGGTGGTGAGCTGCACCCAGGTGGCTGTGCTCAGCCAAGCTCCTCCTTTGTCCTTTGATTTCACTGGGAACATCCACTCCCGGTTGTTACGCAGCTGAAGACAAGGAATCCCCCGGGGACCAGACTCTTAGGAAACACACAAAACCAAATGCAATTTACTTCACTTTAATTGAAAACCAAATAAATACATGCCAGGGGATTTTTTAAAATGAGGAAAGAGGTTGAAAAACAAAACAAACCCCAAACCCCAAACCTACAGGGACTCCTGGTTTCTTGTCAGCAGGAGAGGTGGGCCCACCCGGCTGGAGGCCTGCCAGGGGGCTTGCCAGACTAAAAAGGGACCTTCGGGCTCCTCTTGGGGGGCGCAGACCCAGCCTCAGGGTCAGATGTGCTGCCTGGATAGCAGTAAGTCTCTGCGGGGGCCTGGGCAGCACACAGCCTCCACTGTGACATGTCCCCACAAGGCCCGGATGCTCAGGGCTGGGCTTCTGGGGAGCCAGGGAGTCGCCTGGTGCCGGGATCCGGAACACGAGGCAAACCCCACAGCCCAGAGCTCCTGGTCCTGCTGGCCAGTAGCTGACAGCTCTGAGGTCCATGCGGGAGGCCTGGGGCCTCGGACAAGTAGGCTGTGGCTCCCAAAGGCACCCACACTTCGAAAGCCCGTGGAGGAGTTCGCTGGGGCCTCTCAAACTCACAGCACCAGGCTCCCGAGAATGGCAGGCAGCTCGGCGAGCGGACGTGTCTGCAGTGGCGCTGGGCCCTGGTACAACAGGAAGAGCATGGGTGGGCCCCAAAGTCTGCTTGCGGCTGCTCCCCGCAACTCCAGGGTGCCCAAGCCAGTCCAGGCAGAGGGGCAGAAGGGTGGGTGGCCCGAGTTCCGGTCAGGGCTGGGCAGACCTTCTGTGGGGGCAGGCAGAGGCCCCTCCTCGGGAGCCAGCAGCACGGACGGGAGGGACCTGATAGCCACACGCCTATAGGTGGATCCACTTGTTCCAGTTGACCTCGTGGGGGAACACGCGGCCCAGCCGCAGGGTGCAGTCCAGCGTGGGCTCGTAGAATGCCACGGCACTCCCGCTGGGGCTGGAGGGCACCTCTGCCCCCTGCTCCCCGGGTCTGGAGAAGAGGGAGACGGCCGCGGGCTTTCTCAGCAGGCGCTTCTTAATGCAGCCAAGGAATTCCAGGCCCTGCACACAGCAGACACAGGTTGGCAGGTGCACGTGTGGACCAGCCCTGCTGCTTCTGGAACAGGGGCACCTGAATGTGACCTTGAGTGACAGCAGGGATTGACCAGGAGGGTTAAGCAAAGCCTAGGGCAGGAGAGAACAGTGCGGCCAGCATCCCCACGCACCCAAGTGCTTCCGGGCGGGGTTCTGTTTGGCCTGCTCAGGGCTCAGGGTTCAAGAAGTTTGTTTCCAGCTGGTGAGGAGGAGCTGGAGCCCCGGGCACACATGGCCATGGTGCAGGGTGAGGTCAGCCTGGCTGGGCGCAGCTGCCCTCCGCTCTCCCCGCCACCCACGAGGGCTCATCACTCCTTTACCAGCCTGCCCAGGGGCCTGCGTGCTCCTGACCCTTGTTTGGAGAGTGTCAGCGATGAGACCCCGGGAATGTTGATGTTCAGCCTGAGCAGCAGCATGGGGCCCGTGAAGGCCACCAAGTGCCAGCAGGAACCCAGGGCAGGGCTGGGGACTCGGGAGCTGCGGGAGGCGCGGGGGGCCGCGGGGGGCCGCGGGGAGTTGTGGGCAGAGCTGCCTCAGAGGCAGCACAGACGGCTCTGTGCAGGGCTGACAGCGAGGCGAGGCACCCGTGAGGGGCAACTGGAGCAGAGGGCTCTTCCGAGGAGCCTGGCCTCTGCCGGGAGGCGGCTGGGCCAGTCTCTGCAGCTCCTGCCCCTAAGGGTGGTGCCTGTGTGTGGTGGGCACACCCTGGAACTCATCTGGCGCACCCACCCCGGGCCCGGAAACGGCAGCTAGTGGGCGCACCTGGAGCAGCTCGAGCACGGCCACGGGCTGCAGGACGCCCTGGTAGTGCTGCAGCAGGCAGCTCTCGGGCACGCCGGGCCTGCTCATGATGTGGTACAGCACGGCCTCCATCATGCCCTTGCACACCGGCGTGTTCAGGTGGCCGTCCACGATGCGCCACGGGCGGCTGATGAAGCAGATGCTCTCACAGTCCCTGCAGGGCGGGCAGGACGGGGAAGACCGCTCGCTCACACGCAGCCCCTCCAAGACGGGACACGGGCTGAGGGAGGTCCAGGTCTGGCCCGGGTCTGTTTTTGGCTCTTCCCCTCCGCCCTCCCCTCCCACCTGGACAGAGGGGCCCACCCCAGGGCCCACGCCTGCTGGCCGAGGAAAGAACAGTGTGGGCCCTGCTCAGACTCAGCCGTACCGAGACGAAAGAGCCAACGGCCCCGGCCCCACGGCAGGAGGCAGAAGAGCCGGCTGCAGACGCCCCAGCCCAGCGGGGCCTGGGCCAGCGCGGCCTCACCCCAGGGCAAGCTCAGAGGGAATGCTCTGCCGCTGTGTCCTCGGGGCTTCCAGACACTTCCCTCAGAGCAAAGGTCTCTGCTGAGCACTAGGCAGTGACTGGTCTGCCACGCAGGCCCAGGCGTGGGGCAGGCTGTGGACTCGCTGGGCACCGGGCTTAACTGGGCCGCAGGTGACAGCCTGAGCCCTGGGAGGCGGGAGCACGTGCGTCCCATCGAGCTGAAGGCCACGCACACTCGGGAGGCCCTCCTCAGATCGGCGTCTGTGGAACCCACTGCACAAAGGACACCTGCCCCGCCCCCCGTGAGGGGGACAACAGTCCCACACACCCCAGGCCCCGGTGGAGCAGCACTGCTGGGCTCAGGGTCCGATACTGCTCTGTCGTATCCTGGGCCTCCTGGGACCCTGAGGGCAGCCCCTGCCCCGCCTCCTGCCCCAGTCACTCACCTTTCCCGTGTTGCCTGCGAGAGGCCGCTGGCCGCGGAGATTTCTGCCGAACCTGACAGGAGGGAAAGGGCGGGACTGAGAGGTGGGAGCTGTCTCTTCCTCCCGCACTCATTCGACAAGTGCTCCCGGTGGTGGGGACAAGGCTGCGACAAAGGACAGAGCCTGCTCCTCAGAGCCTCCCCCTGCAAAGTGGCGGCCACGGGGCCGAAGCCGCACACCCAGAGCAGGACTGGGGCTGCGTGTGCACCTGAGGGCTCGTTCCCGGGCCTGACCGCAGAGCCACGTGTGCAAAGGCCTTAGGCAAAACAGCCCCCAAACAGAACACCGCGAAAAAACACCTGAAGAGGCCACTGCTGAGGTGACACAAGGATTTGCACACAGGTCGGGGCAGATTCAGTGCCAGTCCCCGGGAAGGGGACACCCTCCGTGTCTGCTTCTGCTCCCCCCAGTTGCTGCCTTCGCACTGTGCCTCAGTCGGCTTGGGAGCTGCAGAAGCTTCCTGCCCTCAAGCGCAAAGGCCACATGGAGACAGGCTAACCCTTTCCTGCCCGGGGCGAGGCTACGCAAAGCTCAAGTAAAGGCCCTTTTGCCGACAGCAGCAGGTTCCCCGTCTCACAGGATGACCAGGCCCAGGGACAGGGAACGGACGGGTCAGGGGACGGGGAGTGGGGGACAAGGTGCTGCACCTCTGGTGTCTTCCGAGCCCTCTGGAAGCTGGGCCTGACAGCTCAGCTGCTCTTGGCCTGGGGAGCTGGGTACCCCGGCACCCTCTTGGTCCTCCTGCCTGGCTTCCGACGCTCCAGGGAGGGGCTGCCCTGCACCTGTCTCTTCAAGAGCTACAGGAAGAGCCGGTGCCGGGGTTTCCGGGCCGAAGCGCAGGCCCTGGAGCGCGGGCCGCTTTGCGGGGGGCTGTTGGGCGCTCTCGGAGGCGGCCTCCCCGCTCTGACCGGCCGGGTCGGCGCTGGCCCAGCTGGCACGCCTCTTGCTGCTCTGGGGGCCCTGGGCGGGTGGTGCCTGCCCCTCGGCGGCACCGTCCTCCCTGGGAGGCCCCTCCAGAGGCCTGGCCGGGGCATCCGCTCTCTGACTGTTGGTGTCCTCTTTCCCCTTCAGCCGCACCGAGCGCAGGAGCCAGGGCTGGGCACAGGCCATGGTCACCAGGCGAATGGAGTTCCCACCAACTTCCAGCACCTGCTGTCGTTTCAAGAGGTCCTAGGAAAGCAGGAGACACACGGGTCTGCGTGGGACCCCAGGATCAGCAGGGTTTGTGCCCCTTGTCTGATGTGTCTTAGGTCTAAGCAAGTGCCCAGGGCCATGAGGGCAGACATCTCGAGGACGTGGCGGGCTTCCAACTCCACGTCGGCCACCAAGCCGGCTGTGCGGCCCTGGGCGACCCTTCCCCTCTAGGCTCAGTGTGCCTGTCTGGAAAACAAGTCCGACGTGCGAACTTGGAACCACAGCTGTGCCCTCGAAGCTGACGTGACTTTGTGAGTCTCCTTCTGCTGGCCAGCGTCCTCCCCCAGAATTCAACACTCAGAGCGCTATCAAGTCCTTCTGCAAAAGCCACTGTCGCCCCTCCGAACGGCTGCTCCTCCTGCGCACATCGTGCACCGGCCGGTTCCCACCCAGGAGCTGCACAGCTCCGCGTGGCACACGGAGACACCATCGTCTTTCTTTCAGTTTTTCTGTTAAAAACCCACAAGTCAGGGCTCAGGGAATTTGCCTGGAACCAGGCCTCACATCCAGGCCATGTGGGTCTGGGGAGGGTTTGCTGTGGGCACTAGCCCTTGGGCCTCCAGGTCAGGCACCAGGAACTAAGGGAGCTGCCTGAGCCACCACCTCTCAACACCTGGGCCCTGCTGCCTGGAGGCCACACCGTGGCCCGGACGATCCCCACCCCGCCTCCCCAGGCTCCGGGTGCACCAAGACGTTCATGGACAATCAAATCCCCGTGCACAGTGGTCATCAGCACCTCTTATCCCTGCACCCGTAAGAACTTGTTAGACAACAAACACTGGCCACCATCCTCCCTGCCCAACGGCATCGCTCACTGGGATCTGCACCCTACTGCCTGCAGCTGGGACAGGGCGGGGGGTGGCCAGGTCCCCAGGCACTCCACTTCAGAGTTCATCGCAGTCACACTCCTTGGGTTCAGGGTCACTGAAGACAACTGGTCCAGGTGGGAGAACGGTGAGTCAAGGGCTCCAGCCAGTGGGCTGAGGGAGCAGGGCTCAGTCTGTTTAGACCTTTGAACACTCAGGAGAAGCTGGGTTTTAGGTAAATCTCCTATTTTAAATGTTGACAACTAATTCAGTTTTTAAAAACATTATACGCTATGCCTCAAACCCAGCGCACCTGCAGTGTGCACCTGGCCTGGGAGCCGCAGCTTCCGCTTCGCTGCCGGGCGGCCTGGAGCACAGCTCACCTGCACGTAATCTGCGAGGGTCCTGGTGCGCTCGCCGCCTGCCTTCTCAAAGGCACAGAACCATCTGCTCAGCTCCACCTTGTCCACCCCAAAGCAGCCTGTGGCTGCAATGGCCCCCTGGACCTCCAAGGCGGCGGCCACGTCTCCAGGCTTATACCCAGACAGCTCCACCTGGCGGACAAACTCTTCCAAGCTGCAGGTGTCCTGGTTGTGTATCAGCCTGGTGAATGTGTCAGGGAGGCAGGAGGTTCCCACTCTCAGCTCCTCCAGAGAAGGGGCTGCGAAGACAGGAGGATGAGCATCAGTCCTGCGGGGCCCCCCAGGCCTGTGCACCAGTGATACAGAGGCAGGATGTGCTCCGGCACCAACCACTGCTCCCCAAACCTTCCAGGTGGGCACGGTTGGACCCCTGCCAGACAGGCCCCTGGGTCCTTGACTGTAGCCGATGGGGCTAGATTTTCCGGGGCCAGTATAATTCTGCTCAAGTCTCAAAGGGCTCGGAGGTGGGGCTGGGTCCGAAAACCGTGACCCCAAAGTTCTGGAGGGAAGGTCCTCAACTCCCCACCCTGGGCCCCACTCTTCCTGACACTGTGCTCACTGCCCCAGACCCTGTGACAGAACTGAGACCCTTCCATAACCCGCTGCTGTGTACACTCGCCAGGGCTGTTCCCGTCTCTCTCTGCAGCTACGAAGGGAGTCATCCGAAGAACTAGACAGAGACAGTGAGAAGTGCCCGGAGAACCCGTGCCCCCGTGACTGTGGACAGGGCATGGTGACGGAGAAGGGGGGACGCACAGCCTGGAGTCTCCCCACTGCGGGCCAGGGCGGCGCTCACCGGTGGACGCGAGCCGGGTGGGCGTGGGGCTGCAGCGCAGCCGGAACTGCACGTGGCAGGAGTTCACCACGATGCTGTCGTTGGGGTTGAGGTTCCGGGTGCTGACAATGCCGGGGGCGCAGTAGCCCCGCATCAGCAGGTAGTTGGTGTGAGAGGCCTGGGGGGCTTTCACCTCGATGCTCCGGCGCTTGCCCCCCGGGTCTTCATCCAATTCTTCCTCTTCCTCCTCCTCCTCTTCCAAGGCCCCGTCCTTGCCCAGGCTGGGAGAAGAACATGCCCTCGAGGATGGAGCTCAGGCCCCATCTGCTGCCCTGCCACCCCTCCCGGCGCACACTGTCCCCCTCAGGGTGCCTGTGACTGGGCCTCAGCGACGGCCCATGGTGACCGTGGACACCTGGCCTCTGGCTGTGAAGGTCAGCATGGACCGCATTCCAGATTCTCCCTCGCCCACCTTCTCCCACACCTGAGTCCTCTTCACATACCTGTCTTTGCAAGGGCTGTTCCTTCTGTCTGAAAACCCTTCCTAGTCTGTCCTCAGTAACGCCTGCTTCCCACTAGATCCCGGTTCAGCTTTTGCGCCATCAAGGGGCTTTGGCCACTCTCTCCTTCCCTACTCACCCCTCCTCGCACACCACACCGGGTCCTTCTCTGGCCGCCAGAGGCAGAGCCGAACTGGCTGCGGCACCGCAGCTCCCGGCACACAGGTCTGAGGCCCTGTCGCAGGACCTCCCCAAAGGCACCCTGGGCTCTGCTGTCCTTGTGGCAGATGCCCACACAGCGCTGACCCGACTCGGGGACAGTCAGCACATCCTCGCTGTGCTCAGTGGCCTGCAAGGTGCTGGTGTGAGCAGCTGCCCAGCGCGCAGCCCTTACCTCTTCATGACCTCGTTCTCCACCATCGAGCTGTCCACCACGACGATCTGCTCGGGGATCCTGACATCCACAGAGACAAGGCCCAGAGAGAAGAGGGTCAGGGCGGCCACACAGTGCCCTCCAGGGCCGTCCAAAGAAAATGCCACCAGGTCACTTGGGGAGTCGTGACTATCCTGCTCTTTGAAGGAGAAGTTATCGGGCTGGTCCAGCTTGCCGGCAGCCCGGACTCTGTTGAAGAACTGGAACGATTCTGTGCAGATGGTGGTCGGAAATCTCCAGGTGAAGATCCTGCAGACACAAAGGGAAGGGATTCCTGGGGACGGCTGTCGGGAGCCTTCGGCTGCTGGGCTGTGTGCACTGCAGACCACTGCTGTGAAGCCAGCACCCAGCTCCTCTCCGCCAACGCAGGCCCCGCACGGACCCCAACCGTGTGCACCGTCCCCACTCACCCGAGCACCTAGGGCCGGGCAGGGCCACATCCTTTCACCCGACTCGATGCCTCGCAGGCACTCACTGTGCACAGGTGCCAAGCTGGGGCAGAGAGTGCACTTTCTGGATTAACCACTTCCCACGCCCCGCCCGGACCCAGACGAGACGCGCGCCGTCTCCAGAGGTGGCTGCGGGGCGGCGAGCCCTGCCCTGTCCGAGGTGACTTCCCGGCCTCCCACGGCAGACAGTGGGGTCTAGGTCAGAGGCCCCTGGTCTTCCTGATCTGCTGACCACTGCCTCTCCGCCCACAGAAGACAAGTGGCTCAAAGCCAAATGGCCTTGTTTGGACTTGGACACGTGTCTTCTGCTGCCCAGATCAGGGCTCGTTCAGTGCGCAGGCCGCTCCCCGGAGAGGAGACTGGGGTCACCTGGGATGGGTCTTTGGGAAGGGAGCAAGTGTCTGGAGTCCCAGGCAGAGATAAAAGAAACAAGACACACTCAATCTGTTGTTCTGTTTCTGAATGCAGCCTGTGCAGCTCTGAGGGCTGGTCAGGAGGCCAGCAGGGAGCAGGGAAGCCCGCCCAGGGGAGGAGCCGCACGCAGAGCTCCTGGGACTGCCGCAGGGCTCCCTCTGCGTGGGGACGGAGGCCGGGCCAGAATGCCAGTGTGCGCCGAGACCAGCCAGTGTGAGGCCACGCTGAGCTGTGAGGGGCGCCCCTGCAGGAGGGGCCCCGGTGAGGCGACTCCCGACCGCGCACTGGCCTCGGATGGCTGCTGTGCTGCAGCGGAGTCTGAGCAACACCCGGCGGCTTCGAAGCAGTGAGCCTGCAGGACGGGCGGCCGGGTGCAGCTCTGAGCGTGAGGACTAGGGATTGAGCTGTGCCCACCCAGGAGGGTGCACTTTTTTGTTGCTGTTAATCCTCATCTGAGGATATTTTTTCCATTGATATTTAGAGAAAATGGAAGGGAGGGAGGGACAGGGAGAAAAACATCGATGTGAGAGAGACACATCGTTTGGCTGTCTCCTGCATGAACCCAACCAGGGCCAGGAATCAAGCCAGGTATGTGCACCTGGACCAGGAATCAAACCCGAGACCCTTTGGTGCATGGGCTGACGCTCTAACCACTGCTACACTGGTCAGGGCAGGAGAGTGCACTTTTAACTGGACCAAGTATCACATTGAAACTTGTCTTACCCAATTTGACAGGAGAAAGGAAAATAAACTACCTGCAAAAATGGTAAATGCCCCAACACAAAATGCCACAAGTGTCAACCTTATTCCCACACAAGGAAGGACAGTAGGTGAGAAACTCATTTCCAGAGGCTGCGTCTCATACACGAGGCCACAAGGGGCTCGGCTGCTGTGCTCTCTGGTGGAGATGGGCGTCCTGTGACTTCCACCCATGCGGACACGGCCCTGCCTTCCCCAGGCCGCCACGGGCTCCTGAGCAGGTGCTCACTTGTAGTAGCTCTGGGACAACTGGTAGGACATTGGCACGAAGGGCAAAGCCCGGTTTTTCTTTGGGCCCAGTGTGTGGTTAACCCGGCGCCGGTTGACCAAGCTCCTTTTCTGGCACTCCATGAAGGCCTTCCCGAGAATCTGGTCCTTATACTCCTGGTACAGGCGGAACGTCTGCAACACAGCAAGTCAGGGGTGAGCAGCAGGCCGGGAACAGCCAGGACGTGCGGATGGCAGGAGCGAGGGCTGACTGTCTATGGACTGCGTGGGACTAGGGCATGGAGGCCAGAGCTGACACTTGGGGGTGTGTGTGGGAGAGCCTGGAGGAAGCTAGCAACCCTGTCAACCTGTACCCCCACCATCAAAGACACCTCAGAGACCACAGAAGGACAGGCGACAGGAGAAAGAGGAAGGCTCTGCACCCCACACCCATTTCTCGGGATGCAAAGGCACCAGGAGTCAGTGCACAGTCACCTGTGACCATCCTCTCTCTTCCTCCTCACCCAACACGTTACGCGCTTAGCTGGCTCTGTTCCCAAACGCACGCGGCTCAGGCCTCTACACGGCCACCACCGAGCTCACGCTGCCACTTCCCATGCAGCCTCCAGCCAGCGGCGCCCCATCCTCCCACCCGACCGTCCTCCACAGAAACAGAAGGTAAGCCTCGGATGCCCGTGTCAGACCCGCGCTCCTTCCCTACCTCAAACCCCAGTGGCTTCCGCCTGCAGGCAGAATGCCCACCTCACTGTGCTGGACAAGGACGCAGGGGCCTTGCCCACTGCAGCCTCGCCTCCTGCCAGCCCACCTCTCAGCAAAGCACTGGGACTGTGGGAGGTCACTGGGTCCTGTGCCCACACTTTAAAGATGAAATAAGTAAGGGCCAGAGTTTCGAGGGGACTCAGCCCCCCGGACCACAGTTGAAAGGGAATGAACGGAACCTCACAGGGTACCGGCCTCTGAAGGGACCCGGTCCCAGGGCCACTGCAGAGTGACGCGGGTCCCCGACGCCCACCTGGAAGGACTGGCAGGACTTCATCTGGCTGTCCGACAGAGCCAGCGTGCTCTGGATCAGGTTCTGCAGCACCAGGTAGTGGATGTCGTCCACGCTGAAAGAGGGACGGCTCAGCGACGTGAGGCCACAGGGCACTGCATTCTGGGTACACTCAGTTCTCATTACACAAAAATTTCCAATCTCACAGAAGTGACCTGACTACCCAAACTAGTTTTAAACCAAAACAAAATACATGATATTTTTAAAAATCTAACTGGCCAATTTCCGCAGGAAAAAAAGCTTCCACTTAGGGGCAAGGGGTGACATAACCCGTGAACAGCTTTTCCCAATTAAAAGTGCGGTTAGGAGCTTATATTTTCTTTTCATTCAATTTTAAGCACGTTTTTGTCCAAAGAGAATAGGCTTCTCACTGAAATACAGAGTTAAAATCGAACGGCATGTTGTGTCTAAGACGGGGAAGCTGAGCTGTCTGAGCCCGTCTGCCTAGAAAGCTCAGGGCTGAGTTCAGACCCGCCCTCGGCCCACCATGAGCCCAGGCCAGTGATGCTGGAGGTCGGCCACCCAATCGAGCAGCTGAGGAAAACACACTCGGTGTGTCAGCACTTGCCTGTTAAGTTCATCCTCCTTCCTGATTTGGTCTTTTTGGTCTCCAATCGCCAAAACTCGATATCTGCGTAAGACAACAAAAGAGCACGTCAACGCAACACACAGATCTGCACTGACCGAGCTGTGGCTGGCCCAAGACAGCCATTCACTGGCTGAAATGTTTGAAAAATAATGTTAAACTCACCAAAATTCAAACATGTGCATGTAAATTAAAATGAGAAAATACTGTCCTGTCTATCAAGTGAGCATGTTAAAAAAGGCAAGCTGAGAGAACGAGGGATGTCCATTTACTGGTAATTATGAAGCGACGTAAGAAATGCTGCTAGGCTGGGTGCTACTACTATGTTAAGGGAGGAGGACAAAAACTTGTGGACTCATTATGATTAAAAATAAGCACAAGGCCCAGCTGTTGTGGCTCAGTGGATTGAGTGTCGTCCCATGGACTGAGAGGTCCTGGTTCAATTCCCAGTCAGGGCACATGCCCGGGGTGCATGAGCTTGATCCCCAGTAGAGGGCGTGCAGGAGGCAGCCAATGATGTTTCTCTCTCACATCGATGTTTCTATCTCTCTCCCTTTCTCTCTCTTAAAAAAAAAATCAATAAAAACATATTAAAAAAAAAAAAGTGTGTCAGCTCCAAAAATGACTACGAACCACTCCCGATGCCCAGAGCATAGCAGGCACCATATACATTGTCCAACAAAGGAAAAGATCTCCAACAGAAACACAGAGGCCAACTGCAAAGGTATTGTACAGCTCGCAGACAGAAGCGAATCCATGATCGTCTCCTCACAGGAAGAAGTACGGGGGCTGGAGAGACTGTCTTGAGGAGGACGGTGAAGAGGGGATTCACACTGGGACTGAGCAGAGAAGGCAGGCCTGTTCACAGAACACAGGATTCTACAGTTTCACAGGAGTCTGTGCTCAAACCCACGTGTGTTTCCTCCAGATACCGAGGGGTGGAGTTGGAATGCGCTGACGTTCAAAGTCAGACCCCTACGCTCAGTCTTGGCCCTGCTGCTCAGAAGCACTGTGACCTTGGGGAGTTACTCACCTCTCCGTTTCTTCCCATGTAAAAGGAGCAATCTCAGCAACAGTGCCCGGCCACCCGAGACAGCCCGAATTAAGCCAGCGGCAGGCTGACTGGGAGAACGAAGGCGAGTGCCTGGCAGTGGGCTCCCCAATTTCAGGTCACCGTGGGGCCCAGCGTCAGGAGAGACAGCAGGGTTAGCTGCAAGGCCGAGTGAGGCTGCCGACCCTGGCAGGCCCAGCTGGTGACATTTTCTCTTGGCCCAGAGGATTACACAGGACCTTCCCAGAAGAACCTTACCTGGCAAACAACTCCTGGAGCGTGTCTGGGATTTCAAGGTTAGGATTCCTTAGGGATGAACTAAACTTCTCCTTAAGCTTCTCCACAAATTCTTTAAACTCACTGGCACAAACCTTTGAACACGAGAGAACGAGATGTTAAGCCTACTCGCCCTGAAGGGAGGCTTTGAAGATCCGTCAGGGAAAACCCTGTAACCAGCTCCTGTGGCAGTGACCCCCGGACACACTGCTGAGAAGCGCTGCCTGCTCCTCCTGGGCCGCCCTGCCCACCAGGCCCCGGGGAGCAGACGGCCGCTCAGGGATTGGGCACACCTGGTGCAACAGACACGCCAACAGCCCCACGACTGCACCTCTCCCCCTGCCCAGGAGGCCCAAGCTGTCCTGCACAGTCCCCAGAACACCCACCACGTCCCACCCCCACCCCAGCAGCAGGCCTGTGCTCCCATCCTTCCTCCTTCCGGGTCTGTTCCTGGGGCAGTCCACCTCCTTCCTCTCCTCCCACACCCCCAACCATAGACCCTAAACTAGTCCCCTACTGGACACCTGCAGGGCGACCATCCCATTCCAGACCAGGATCACAACGCAGCCAGCCCCTCACCGCCCTGCTGCCTGCGGTCTCGCACCTCGTGTATCCCCCACAGTGGCCAGCCAACTGATCATGTGACATGGGGTGCACTCACTCCCGCCCTGCGGCCTCCCACACACACTCACGGGTCACCTCACTCCCCTTCCTTCACTGCCTTTGCCTCAGCCAGCCCCTCATCTTAGGCGTCTGGGTTCAGTGCTGAACCGTTAGAAAGCCCTGGGCAGTAGACAGACGCTGTTGGTAGCCTACTTCCACCACCCCAGCCTTTCTCAGGAGTGGAGCCGGCTCCGGCTTGGTTTGGGGAGGACGCACCCTCAGAGGCTTCTGGGAAAGGCTGTCCCCTCCATGATACAAGGGCCCCGTGGGCCCATGCAGCCCCTCCCTCCACTTCTTCCTGTCCTGGGATTCTGTTGTGAGGATCTGAGCTCCAGCAGTCAGCCAGCAACCATGAGGTGACTGGCATGAAGATGCGCAGCTGACTGGGGACTAGAATGAACCTGGGTCCTTGGTGACATCTCTGCTTCACTGCACAAGCCCACAGTGGCCTGGCTCCGGACTGTTCGCACCTGGGAAGACCAAGTCTCGGCCCCTGCGGTGCTGGCTTTCTGTCACCTGCCTCATAGGCACTGCTCGCACTCCGTTGACCAGGCGTCCTCTCTCAGGGTGGCTGCGCTGCTCTGTGCAGCCCATTTACTCCTCTGCCTGCCCCACTACCCCGTGGCTCCGAGGGAAGGGCTGGACCTGCACTGTGACTGGCCTCGCCTGGCACCAGGCCGACACACTGCAGTGTTGTCACAGCGAGCGAGGGCTGAGTGGCTCTGAGCTGAAGAGCAGAGACATCTGGGTCTGTGAAGACAGGCCCCTTCCTTGCTGGCCACTGTCCCAGCCCCACCTGGACAGACAGCTCAGAAAGATTCTCCTATCCCATCTGCAAGCTTTGCAGGAAGTCTAGCTGCTTGAACTTTGAAGAGCTGCCCTATTTTCTTAGCCAACAGGCCCACGGCACAGCAGCACTGCAAAGCTGCGTGTCGAGTCCTAACCATCTTTAAAACGAATGCTGGAGACGGATCCAATGATGCCCAAAGCCAGAGACCTGGCAAGTCAGCTCCCAAACGAGCAGGAGAACCCCATGTCTGTAAGGCTGGCAGGGGCCCGTGGACCCAGGGACTAGAACAGACCTGGAACCCCAGCCCTGGAGCAGGCGGAGCCTAGCCACCACACCGGACCTACCTTTGGGTCTTCATAGTCACATTTTCGATTCATGAAATCTCCCACAAGGGCCTTATCTTGGTACACCTCGGCCAGGCACACCCTGCAGAGAGAAGGTCAAATGAGGCTGGGCACTGGAGTGACGTCTCTGCTCAGAACCATCAGATCTCCGGCTGACTTCTCTGGCTTTGCCTGACCATAAAGCGTGATTTACCTGTATACTTGGTGTGTGAGTAAAGCTTAGCCAAACCTGATTAGAGACAGGTCTGTTACTGCTCACACTATACTGTGGCTTCTCCGAGCTTCTGTCCTCCGCGTGCAAGCTGAGACCACTGACTCCCAACCACCCTCACAGGACTGGGCCAAGACCAAATGAGATGACTTGTGGGAAAGTATACTGTAAATTTAAGAATATCACACAGGCCCTGGTGCTTCCTATTGTGAAGAGTTCTAACTTCCTCCAAAGCATGGCCCGTGCACCCCACAAACCTCCCAGTCCCCAGGAGGTAAAGAGCCTGACTTGCCTAAAGGAAATGGAGGGACAGACGACCAGAATGTGCCGGCCTCCTATGAGCCAAGCACTTCAACCTTCATAAAAACGTGCAAGATAGAGACTGTCATTCTCCTGCATAGCTTATTGAGGTGAAGGGACCGCAGAGGTCACACTGTGCTAGGCCAGGGCAGGGGGGCAGGTGTGGTCATTACTGGTGGTGTCATCCTGTTCGCGGGCGAGGCCGCAGCCCCGAGAGCAGGGCGCCCCGGCCGAGCCCAGGCTCTGGACTGCAGTGAGCAGGGAGGCCCAGGCCTGCAGCCCCGCTATTCACTCCCCGGGCTGCTGCGGGACAAGTCCCAGGTCTCACTTCTCTGCCAACTCACTGTTGCCATGGACAACTCACATCCTCTCTCTGGGCCTGTTTCTACTCTGAAAAAAGAAGAGTTTGAACCAGGTGATCAGAACCTTTCAGATAGAAAAGACTGAGACTCTATGCACAGCGCAGTGGCTTCGTGCAGGAAAGCCCCCTGGTAACGCAAATGGTTCTCAGCTGGGGAAACGTGGCCCCCAGAGGGCTTCAGGAGACAGCCTGGTGTCACGTGGGAGGACTACTAGTGTCCAGTGGGTACAGGCAGGGATGTGCGCAGCACCCGCCAGGGCACAGGGCAGGGCCTCTCTCTGCAGTCTGGCTCTCTCCCACTGACCCACTGCATGATGACAGTGGTGGAGGCGGCATTCCCAACCGTGCCAGGGCTCCCTCCTGGCCCCTCTCACACTGGCTGCTACGCTTGGGCACCTCCAACATTTGGACGCTCTCTGGTGACCCCTCAAGTCCATGACGGGAGGAGCTGAGGAGTCCGATGAGGCTGGCAAGGGCTTTCTGCCTGGCCCTGCGAGGAGATGGGGGAGGCGGCTGCCTCTCTGGCAAAAGACAAACCACAAGGGGAATGCTTCGCCACCTGGCCAGCCAGCATCACCACAACCGGGCCCTGGCTGGGAAACTCTCAGGGAACACCCAGCTCTGCTGAGGACACTGGTCCACGGAGCCCAGTCCTTCAAGCCAGCTCTGGAGTGGAGCATGTGACGGCCACCAACCGAGACGCAGAGCTGCTCTGGGTGCTAGAACAGCAGTGCGGCCGACAGACGCCTCCGCCTTCCCCATGTGCTAGGACGAGATTCAGTAAGTCACAGCCTGTATGGCCTCTGTGTCCCCATCTGTAACCAACTTCAGAAGGCTTTCCCAGCCCTCAGTAAATCCAGGGCAACCTCCCTGATAAGCACCCGCACTCGGGCAGACCAGCGTGCGCACGGACAGCTCAGAGCCCGCAGGACTTCACACCGGACCTGAAGCAAGTGGGTGGGAGGAGAGCGAGGATGAACCCGCGGCGTCGGAAGCACTGTCCTGGAATCATGAAAGTGCAAATGAGGCTTACTTGTAGTTCATATAGGCTTGTGGGTTTTTGACTATGTAGCGAGCTCTTCGTCCAACTGAATGAGATGTCTTATCCAAAGACTCTTCAAAAGTAGCGTGCAAAACGTCCCGTACAACCTGCCAGGGGACAAATGGGCCCTTCACCTGCATCAAACACAGAGCCAAGACGGGAAATCAGTATCCTCGGAGCCCAGGCCTGGGCGACTGACACAAAGAAGTGGGGACAGCATGTTCTGTGGAGCCTCCTCCGTCGGTGGTCACTCCAAACGCCACCTCGTGTTCACAGTCACATTAACTGGGCACCGACGATGTGCCTGGCAGAGTGAGGTGCCGGGCAGAGGAGCGAGCTAAGCCCCAGTCCTGAGGGGAAAGAGTGTCTTCGGACAAGATCAGTGCTCAGAGGTGCCGGGAAGGACTGACCAGGGCCAGCACGTCAGGGGAGGTATGAACGTGTAAAACGTGCTGAGTCAGAGCGTTTGACAGGCTTCCCTACAGTGTGTGCCCTGAAACGTCCCTGCGTTACAGTGTGCGTTACACTGGCCACCACAGAATGCGCAGTTAGCAGACTCAGGAGAACACCTCAGTCAGGCAGGAAGGCAGAGCTGAGATAAGGGGCTTGAAGACAAGCTGTTTTCTTTTTCATCCTCACCTGAGGACATTTTCTTTTTATATTTATCTTCAGATAGAGCAGGAAGGAGAGAGGGAGAGAGAGAGAGAGAAACATCGATGTGAGAGAAACACATCGAGTGGTCGCCACCCACTCGACCCCAACCAGGGCCGGGGACAAACTGCAACCGAGGTACGTGCCCTTAGTGGGAACCGAACCCAGGTCTCTCTGGTCTGCGGGCCGACACTCTAACCGCTGAGCCAAACCGGCCAGGGAACAAGCTATGTTCTTACAGCCCCAGAAGGAGGTGGCCCAAGAATATGGTGTAAGTTCAAGTGAGTGACTGAGGGCCCGCTGACCTGAATGTGCAGGCCACTCCTGACTCCTCCAGCGCCCCGGGTGGGTGGGGGGGACCTGCCTCCCCTGGGTGGTGATGGCAGAGTCATGGCAGAGGCAGAGAACAGAAACTGGGGACAGCAAGAGTCCCCGTCAGGTTCTTTCTTGGAGAAGGAACTGGGTTAGAATTTAGGAGGGGGCGAGGGTTGAGAGGACCTGGGAAAATGGTCAAGGAAAGGGATCTAATGGGCCCGTGGGCAAACAGCATCCTGGCACAGGACCTCGAAGTGGACTTCTCTTGGCTGTCATGGCTGAGAGCAGGAAACACCAACGGGGCTCTTATGAAGCTGCCTTACGTGTATACCTGGAGGTATTACTACCTACAGAAGCCCTGGCTTGGACGATGGCAGAGCTCACTCTCCTGGTGGCTTCCGCGAAGCGGTTTGATGGGAGCTTCGCCCACCTGGGCTGCTCTCCCCATCTCTCCATGCCTTGTGCAAACGGGGATCAGAACAGCATGAGTGTCAAGAAGAACAGACGAGGGGTCAGCAAGGCTGCTGTGGGGAGCACTGCAAGGAGATGGACTCTGGTTCGGTCTGTGGAACCTTCTTGGAGGCAGACATCAGAGGGAGGAGGGACAATTTGCCAGACCGGGAGTAAGTCCCCCCGCAGGATTCAGGGACATAGGCCAGGAGGACACGTGAACGGGAGACTGTGGCATGGAAGGTGGAGAGTGAACTGAGGAAGGTGGAGTCAGGCCGAGGCCACTGTGCTGCTCCACATAGACTCAGCAAACACCGAGTGGAGGTTCCTGCGTGGCAGGCGCCACAAGGGGGTCCTGGCGATGAGGACGAAGGAGAAGTCCCTTTGCCTGAGAAGTCCTGCCCGGGTCAAGATGTGCCAGAGGCACCAGAAGTGGTAGGAGAACATGTGCCCAAGGGGCAGGGCAGGGCGCGGCGCCCACCCCCAGGTGGCAGGATCAGAGTGGCTTTTCCAGACGGTGAGCAGGCAGACAGAGAAACCCAAATCTTTCAGGCAGAGGATGGAGGAGCCAAGAGGAAAGGGTTAGATTCCTGGTGAAGACAGAACAGCTCGGTCTGCTCTGCTGCAGCCAGGCATAGCTTTGGATATGCTCGCTGAAGGCTGGAAAGAAACGTGCAGAAATGGGAGTGGTATTAATACGTAGGACTCTGGGAGATGCTTTTCCCAGGGGCCAGTCAGATTGCTGAGATGAGCAGCCCCAAGGCCCTGTGTGGGTCGGACAGGAAAGAGCTCCCTGAGAGAGGGACAAACAAGTCAGCTAGCTAGAGGCTGGAAGGAGCAGGGGACCGAGGGGACCAAATACCTTGGTGTTGAGGATGTTGCTGGCAATTCGGCAGAGCATGAGCAGCCCGTCTTCCTGCATGGACCAGGTGACACGCAGTCGGGTCATCCTCTGCAGGGCGCTCTGGTCGGCCTCGTCGTGGTAGCGCAGACTTTTGTTCTTTTCTTCTTGGAGCTCTTCTAAGAACACCAAGAGGAGAAGGGAGGGAGCCTTAACAACTGGTTTGGAGCTGTCACTCTGGAGAGGGAAGGTCTCTACCCAGCTAGAGAGACTTGTCCAAGGGTATTAGCTTTCGGAATCTCATTGTGCCTGGAAGCTATACAACCAATCACAGAGACTCAGCCCTTCCTGCCAGATTGTCCACCCCCGCTCATCATTTGTCTTTGGTGGCATTACAGTGACGGCTGAGCGGCCTGAGTGCGGCCTCCGGCTAGTGCTCTGCCAGCTCCACGCCTTCCTGCTGTGGAGCTAAGCCCTTTAAAGGCACATGCGGGCTCCCCCACTCTGCTGCTCTGGGACCTCAGAGATGTGCGAACTCCGCTGCATGGTGGGGTCAAGGCCCATCCTACAGGGCTGCTGTGGGGACTAAACAAGATGGAAACACCTAGTGCAGCGCCTGGCACAATGTAGCTACTAAATAAAGAATAACAGTCGCTGACATTATGGAATATTTACTATGTGCCAAACACTGGTTCAAACTTTTTACATATATTAACTTCAATGAAAACAATACTTTGCAACAGCCCTATGAGAAAGACTGGTTATCATCCTATTCTGTTATAGGATCTGAAACACAGTAGCACACGGCAACTTGCCAAAGCCACACAACTAGGTAGCAGACCAAGGATTTGAACTTCAGCTCATTACCACTGGGTTTTCCAAGGTCTCCTCCCCTCGGAGGAGATACTGATGGCAGTTTCACGAGGTAAACACCACATGCTACTGCCAACCCCAAAAGATTGCTTAGTGGTCTTCTTCCAAATTAAGGCAGAAGAAAAGCAGGGCAGGGAAATTTGGATTCAAAGTAACAGCACGACTGTACTTTGCCTTGTAATGAACCCAGGTTTTTGTAAGCTAAGCTGGTCTGACGCGTGTCTGGATAGGTTACACGGAGGGGCCACGCTGACTGACAGGCTATTTGTTAAGAACGCCGGCCAAGTAAACCACTGCAGACAGGTTCCTGTTTCAACGTTCTGCTTCCATCTGAAATGCGAGCTAGCAGCCAGGTCTCTGCGAGGCAGGCCGCTTGGGTGCTAGGAAAGTGGCACGAGCCTCCGGCTGCCCTCCTTCACCATCAGCACTGCCAGATGAAGATCTAACGGGTACCACACCCGAGAGCTTCGTGAGGTCTGAGGAGATTCTACAGGCTTAAATGTTTCCTGTCTTTCCTCTAAATGTACAACAAACCTTAAACTTTAGCCTGATTAGCATTAAGCAGAGGCTAAAAGGTAAACCAAAAGAATAGCAAGATTTGGCTGGTTAGAATGAGGATTTTGCTAAGGTGTTTTTGGTTGAGATGAAATTAGAAATTTTACGGAGGCAGTTTCTTAGGGAAAAGGCTCTATAAAATACAGGGGAAGCAGGGGCAGCACGCAGAAATTTCAAGGCTGTCTGTCTGGCAGCTGACCTGGAAAGCATGGTGATCACAGAGTTAGCACTCTGAATCGAGGACCAATGGAAAAGCAAGCCTAAGGGCAGAGCTCAGGCCCGCCTGTGTGAGACTGCGGCACATCCGTGAGCCTGCACGTGCAAAGACAAGGCCTAGCCAATGCAAAGGATCATCACGTAACCTTTCTTCTTTCTTTTCATCTTCTTTCCAGGGTCCTTCTTCAGCCGTTTCCGCTTCTGGCTCTTCCCACCCCTCACTCTCTGGTTCCTGTCCAGCGCAGGCTCTTGGTCAATCTCAAACTGCTCGTCCCCGTCAACACAGAGCTCGGATTCTGTTCTGGCTTCTCCCCAGATATGCAACCTGCCATGGCCTGGAAATAATCACAGGAGAGAAGCACAGCAAGATGAGCGCTGCGAAGGCCAGAAGCCACATGAAACGTGCAGCAGCCGTGTTGGCTCTGAGTCAGCGGCAGGTCTACTCTGGGCAGAACTCCCAGCACACATACCTCCAGCACCGAGGGGCAACGGGCGCTTGGACAGAAAAGACTGGAGCCTCACCGTGAGCCCGTTCTCGGAAGCTTCGTTCTCCTAGAAGACAAGTGCGGCACTGGGTGAAGCATGAAGTCTCATGCATCCCCGGGGCTGAGTGTGCGGGTGTCTGGCGGACAGCCAGGGATGGCCGGCAGCGGGTGCTTCGGAGGGGTCTCCTGTCCAGCCACTTTCCTATTGCACATGCACTCCCTCTTGTGTGACCTTCGCCCCAGACTTCCTGGTCCTTCTTTAAAAAGGAATGCCTGGCCTGGCTGGTGGGGCTCAGTGGCTGAGCGTCGACCCATGCACCAAGAGCTCGAAGGTTCCATTCCCAGTCAGGGCACATGCCCAGGCTGTGGCCAAATCCCCAGTGGGGGGCATGCAGGAGGCGGCCAATCGATGTTCTCTTTCATCTATGTTTCTATCTCCCCCTCTCCCTTCCTCTCTCTTTAAAATTAATATAGAAAAAAATTTATATCTCTCTATATATGTATACACACACACACACATATAAATAAAAAGGAATACCTGTCCATGCCACAGAGTAAGTTGGAATTAGTTGACAGAAAAAACAGGCCAGGCAGATATTTAGGGGCCTGATGCACTTTCGATACATATGGAAGGAAGTGCTTGTGTCTCTGGTCACTTTTGGTTTTACCAGTTCAGAAACTGAGCTGGGAAAGGGACAGGAGGATGTGCAGTGAGGCAGCCCCCTGGGGTGGTGGCCGGGATGTGGGCGCCTGCGCCTCAAAAGCCCACCTTCCTGGCCTTATTGATGATATAGCTGGTCCAGATCCAGTTGCGCTTCAGGTGTCCGTAAAAACTGGAGTCGAGCCCGGCGGCTCCCAGCCCATCTCCGGGGATCAAGCCTTCATCCACGACCTCACGGCTGCCCCTGAGACAGAAACAAAACACGAACCTGCTTCAGAACTCAACAGAGCCCCCATGGAGTAGGTGGGCGCATTTTTCACAACTAATTTTTACCTTCCCAGAAAAACACCTGACAGAAGTGAAGAACTTGTCAAAACCTCAAATTTTTATGTAAAATCCCCAAATTTTGAATTTTGGTAATTTATTCATTTTTTTAAACAGTGTGGGCTAACTAGAGTACGGCTGGGACCAGGTGTGGTCCTGCCCTGTGACTCAGGCTCCCCTGACATCGGAGCCCGTGGGGAGCACTGCTGCGACCTGCGCAGGGGCAGCGTGTCAAGGGACAGGGACGCACGTGGTGTACTCCATCATCGCACACTTGCGCTCCAGATTGTGCTTGTGGATGGCACTCTCCTGCTCCTTCTGCATGCTGTCCTTGTCGTCACCGCCCGGGTCTGCGCTGCTGCTCTTCCTGACACGCGGGTGGCGCACCACACCTGGAAAGCAAACAAGCCCTCCTGATGGCCCCCCCTGCTGTGGTTCTGGGGGCCACCATGGGCTGCAGGGCGGCCGGGGAAGAGTGAATTCCCTTTCTGTGACTAGGGTCCCCCAACCAGAGAAGGGTCTGAAACTGGTGGAACCTCTTTGCACAAAATGCCTTATAACAGGGGTCGGGGGAGCAGAAGGAAGAGCTAAACACTGACGGGTGAACTGAGAAAAGGGTCTGTACTCGGGCTGAACGCCATTAAGGTGGGCGGCCAAGCAGGGGAGTCGGGAGCAGAGGAGCCCATGCCTTCTCCCTGGGGGGCGCGCCGTGGACATGCTGAACGCCAGCACAGAGGAAGAGTAATGACAGTGACTGCACTTGGCTGTGGCCCGAGGGGTCAGAGTCGGCAGGGATCTGGACAGAGAGCTGGATGCGGTGCCAGTTTCCCTGTGAGCAGCCAGGAGCAGCCAGATGGTTCCCGAGTGCCCGAGAGGTGCATTCACTTAGTGGAGCAGTTACGTTCAGTTATTCCACAATAAAGAAAATTGAGTTTCTCATAAGAAAATACAAAATACTACTAAAACTGTTGCTTGAGAAAGGGAAAGGAAGGTTATGATAATTTGGAGACTGTCAAAGATCCTCTCATAACACGCTCATCTGGAGCCTGTGGCCGGGAACGAGGAGGGGCTGTGGGCAGAGGCCATGCCCCCCACCCCTCAGCCAACTTTACAGAGACACCTGGGTCAAACTTCAGCCCTTAAGGTGCTGTGGTGTTCCCAGTTTAGAAATGAAGACACTGTGAAACACACTGTCCTAAAATCAGGTTACAAAGGGCTGTCCAAGGTCATGCATTTGAATGGACAGTTGAACCTAAGACGACCTAGGGCCATGCTTCTCATGTGCACCACATGCTCCTTGTGAGAAATGCAGGTCTGGGCAGCCCAGGTCTGCCGAACCCAAGGCTCTGCAGGGGCCCAGCGATCCGCAGGTCAGCAGGCCCCGGGTGCTGCCTGTGCACACGCGCTCCGGAGCCCTGCTCTAAAGCATGCGCCCATTGTCTTATACGGCGCTTCCCCTCAGTCCCTGGGGCAGAACCCCTCAAATGTGTGCTAAATGAAGGAACCATCAAGGCCTGATTAATGGATCCAATAAGCCTCCCACATCTCTGCTCATGAACACTAAAAGGGATGGATGGAAATTCACCAACAGTAAAGCCTGAGAAACTTTGGTGCAAATAACATCCTGGCTCACAAATTTTCATCAAGGCATAAAACACAGGGGAATTAGAGGACCTCTAAAATCTAAAATGGAAAAAGCCTACTCACTAAGGAACACCAGAGGAGTCAGTGAAACACACTGTCTTAAAATTTGTCTGGACTCATTATCGGCTCTAAATACAAGTGCCCATTACCCTGTTGGCACTGAGCAATTTCACCAACAAAGAGGTAACCCTTGCTGCGCAACATCAATGAGCGACACCAATCTTGCAGCACTGTGACCGGAGAGAGGACTGGCGTTCTCTCCCAGGTGCAAGCCGAATGCCCATCCTTTTTCTCCTGGTAGACGTGGCAAGGAGAGACCCGCTGAGAACCGGCCTCGAGGAAAGCACGCTGGGCTGGAGGCTCTATAGGTTCCACAAACCCTCCAGTCACTCGATTGACGTTTATGGGAGTCACTGTGTACCAGGCACTTTGAGACACCATGGGTGTAAGCCACACTTCTGTGCTCACAGAGTCCACAGAATGAAATGCGATGATGACAGTGAAGGTGCTGGGAAGACCTTCTCAAAGAGGAGACACAAAGTAGGAGTGGCCACTTGTGGAGTAAGTATGGGTGGGGGACATTCTGGGGAGGGAAAAAAAATTCAAGCAAAGGTTCCACCCAGAGCCCAACTCATGCACCCACTGGCAAGCCAGTTAGTTCTTCCTCACAAGCCCTTCCAACTGCCCCTCTCTGTCACATCTGCGCATCTCTCTGGGACAGGAGTCACAGCCCCTAACTGGTCTTTCTCCTCCCACTCTTGTGTTCCTCTGTCGGTTCTCCAGGGCGAGCTTTGAAAGACAAGTGATTTCATTACTCCTTGCTTACGACCACTCAATGTCTTCTCGCTGCTCTGAGAACAAAGCCAAACTCTTTACGTTTCCCCCGAGTCTGGCTCATGCCCACTTTCCCATCTTGGCTGCCACTCTCCTACCCACCCATGCCGACCTTTTCTGTTTCTCCAACCACACTTGGGACCTTTGCACTGGTTGGTCCCCTGCCTGGAATGTTCTTCCCCAGCTCTGGGCACGGCTGGCTCAGCCTCAGCCTTCAGAATTCAGCTCCAATGTCTCCTCCTCAGAGAGGCTGCTCCTGACCATCCATTCAAATGCCCTTGGCTCAGCACTCTAGGTGCCATCACTCTGTTTATTCCTCCGCAGCACTCATCACACTCTGGCTGTGTGTGTGTGTGTGTGTGTGTGTGTGTGTATGTATGTGTGTGTTCTCCACAACAATGAAGTCTCATGAAGGCAGGGATGAGGTATGTTCTGACTGTGCACAGTCAGGCACAGGAAATAACACACTGAGGGGTTTAACAAATACCTACTGAATGAACACATAAATAAAGACCAACTGGCGCTGCTTGGGCTGAATGGGTGTGGGCTGGGATCCTGTCTAAGGGGCCCCAAGGACACTCCAGGCCTCTGGGGAATAGCTTGAAGACCACGAGGCGACACCTCGTCCCTTCCAGCTCCAATTCCAGGCATCTAGCAAAAAGGAGGGAAAACAGTGAGGTCCAGAAAAGACAGACGGTACCTAAAGGGGTGTTGAGGCAGACACACTGCAGATCAAACCAATAGTTTTCCACATCCTGCATTGAATCCAGGACATAAAGACGCCTTTCAAAGGGCCGACTGCTGTGGGCGAGATTGTAATGTGGGTCACAGATGGTGGTATCAACGATAACCGCATTCTTCTTCAAGAAGACGAAGATCTGCAAGAGAGACAGGGATGGGGCGAAGAGAGACCTCAGAACCAGCCTCGGGCCAGCCATCTGGAAACTGTGCTTAGTAGTCAGGATCACCTGCACTGGGCTTGGAAGACATTACCTGGTCTTTATCCTGAAACTTCTCTGTGGGACCAAACTGTAGCAGCCCCATGTAGCACAGCCTCTGAAGGTTCTCAAATACTGAAAAAATGTACCGTCTGGAAAACAGGGGGAGGGGCAGGATCCAATCACACCACACTCTTAGCTGTTAGGGGGTCTGCATCTGGGGCGAGGAATGCACCCACATATTTTTCCCTCTTCTACCTGGTGGAACCTGGAGGACCGGCCTGCACAGCCCTGAGGCTCAGAACCCCGCTTCCCACACCCGGCAAGGGCAATGGAGCATCAGTTCTCCACTAGGGGTTTGAGTTAGAAAGTGAAAGTAACAAAACAACAAAACCGTGCTAATATTTGCAGACTTTACCAGCAGATTTTACTTTAAAAGAACCTTGAAATCAAGCAATACAATTTCCCAGCCCACACTTCACTTGACCTGGGCTTTATGCAGAAGGCTCACAGGTGGCGGAATTAATGAAAACCTTGAGTCTTTACAACCAGCAGGCAGAAACCTTGCCTCTCCTGGTTAGTCAGACCCTATCCTCAAGGCTTGCTGGGACCCCGACCCTCTGTGCCGTTCCAGGGGCCTCACCTCTTGTACAGAAGCTGCTGCCGGATGGGCCGGGGCAGAAAGCGGATCAGCGTGTGCTTCTTCAGAGGGTCATCCAGAAACTCATCGAGGTTGTCCACCTATGAGTGATTTTAAGGTTCAGCTCACCCTCAAGACCAGAGTGAACTGCAAGAAACGTGGAAGGACACTCACAGAGAGGCTGCAGCTTCTCAGAACCTGCCATTGGCCCCTTGGTGACATGCCCCCACTCCTGCTTCCCCCAGCCTTCCACATCTCTGCTTCTGGTCTCGTCCGCCCTCCTAGCCGTCTGCCACACTGCAGGGTGCAATCAACAGGTGACCTCATACACTGCTGGTGGGCACACAGTTTGCTGACATATTTCCGGGGGGTAACATGGGAATATATTGATATTTTTAAAAAGATCAAGGTGACGGCACAGGTAAATGCAGTACTTAGAACCTCCCACAACCACATCAAAATGACACTAAACTACAGAACCATCATTCAGAACAGCCTGAAATCTAGCTCAACAAAAGTCCTACAACTAAGTACATAAGGAAGAAGCCACACTGAGACGGGTAGGAGGAGCAGAGACATGAAATGGGCTGGTCCCATACTCACAAATGGCGGAAAAAAATCAGGAGGGATATGTTGCCTGTGGAGACCCCCTGAGGAGCAAGGGGTCCCAGCCCCACACCAGACTCCCCAGCCCAGGATTCCAGTGCCAGGAAGAGAAGTCCCCATAACTTCTGGCTGGAAAAACCAGCGGGGATTGTGGCTGAGTAAGACAGGCTGCTGGAGTCCCAGGCATTCCTCTTAAAGGGCCTGCCAGACTTACTTGGACTCACTTGCTCTAAGCTCCAGCACTGGGACAATAGTTGGAAAGGCACAGGGACACACCGGGAGGAACGGAATTGACTGGCATTAGGCAGAATGCTGGTAGAGGCCACTGTTCCTTTGCTGAGCCCTCCCCACAAAGCCAGCAGGCAGGGCACCATATCTGAGTCTCTATCAACCTGGCTCACAATGTTCACCTTGCCCTGGTGATTCCCTGAGCCCAGCCTCACCCAACCTGTGGGCCCACCCCAGCTGTTTCCAGTGGCTTTTCTATATGAATAACCTGTCTTGGCTCAAGCTTCAGAATTTCCTAAAATTTCTTAAGTAAGCAGCATTTGGCCTCAGTGTACCCCATGCCTCTCACTAAGTGGCCCCAAGTCTGTGTCAGCCAGCCTTGGTTTGCAGTTTGGCCTCTCCAGGGCACCTCCAAGCCCAGCACAAGTAGCAGCCACCTGCAGAATGCTTTGTAGCTCATGGGGGGAGGTGCCCTGGGCAGGGCACAGGTGGTAGCTGACTTTGACCTGCACTTCCCAGAAGGCCTCAGAGTCAGTGCACCCAGTAGACAGCTTCAGACTATGTCCAAGCACCAACCAACCACCCCCACAAGAAACACACTCAAGGGGCAGACTCAGCGGGCACCAGAGCCCTGCTGAAGCAAGTCCTGCTTTGTGGACTTGCACAGCTGATCCTCCATAGTGGTCACAACCTGTCCTTGCTGCCATGGCCTTGGAGTAATTCCCTCCTACTGGGGGTGCCAACAGCAATCACAGTTCAACTTCAACAGGAGGGTGCACATAGCCCACACAGTGTGTGTTGGGGGGGATGCACACACATGTGATGTGCCCATCTCAGGTGATCGGAGGGAAGGCTGTTCCACTGGGCACTTACTACATAAAGCCACTTTACCAAGCCTGGGAGATGTAGCAGCTCTACCTAGAACCTAGAAACAAACGCAGGGAGGCAGCCAAACTAAGGAAACAAAGAAGCATATTCCAAATCAAAGAACAGGATAAAACTCCAGAAAAAGAACAAAACAAAAGAGAGACAAGCAATCTACTAGATATAGAGTGCAAAATACTGGTTATAAGGATGCTCAAAAAACTTAGTGAGAACATCAACAAAGAGATAGGAAACAAAAACAAAGACGGAAAACATAAAAAAGAACCAGTCAGAAATAAAAAATAGATTATCTGAGATGAAGAATACATTACAGAGAATCAACAGTAGAGTAGATGAAACAGAGGATCAAATCAGAGATTACATATCATAATTAAAATGCCAAAGGTTAAAGACAAAGAGAATCTTAAAAGCAGCAAGAGAAAAGCAGATAGTTACCTACAAGGCAGCTCCTATAAGACAGTCATCTAATTTCTCAACAGAAACTTTGCATGCCAGAAGGTATTGGCAAGAAATATTCAACGTGATGAAAAGCACGGATCTACAACCAAGATTACTTTACCTAGCAAAGCTGTCATTTAGAATAGAAAAATAGATAAAGAGCTTCCCAGAAAAGAAAAAACTAAACCAGTAATACAAGAAATGTTAGTGTCTTCAAGAAGAATAAAAAAACAAAGATATAAAATATGAATAATAAAATGGCAATAAATACGTATCTGTCAACAACTACTTTAAATGCCAATGGATTCAATGCGCCAATAAAAAGACATATGGAGTCTGAATGGGTAACAAGACCCATATGTATGTGTTTACAAGAGACTCACTTCACATCAAAAGATACAGAGTGAAAGTAAAGGGATAGAAAAAGATATGTCATGAAAATGAAAGCATACAAATAAACAAAAAGCTGGGGTAACAATACTTACACCAGACAAAATAGATTTTATCACTGACAACAGTATAGTGGTTGAGAGAGGGAAGGGGGTTGGGGCAGCTAGAAGAGGGTGAAGGAGGGAGAAATGGTGCTGGAAGGAGGATTTCACTTGGCGTGGTAAACACACAGTACAATATACAGATGGTGTGGTGTGGAATTGTACACATGAATTCTATATAATTTTATTAACCCATGTCACTTCAATAAATTCAATACAAAAATAAAAATAACTGACTTGTAAAACAACAACAACAACAACAAAGGTGATCACTTAGTAAGTTTTATAATGTCTAATCACTGGATTGTACACCTGCAACTAATATAATATTGTATGTCAACTGTAATTAAAAAAATAAAAAATTAGCCCTGGCCGGTTTGGCTCAGTGGTTAGAGCATCCACCTGCAGTCTGGAGAGACCCGGGTTCGGTTCCCGCTAAGGGCATGTACCTCGGTTGCAGTTTGTCCCCAGTCCTGGTTGGTCGTGCAGGTGGCAGCCACTCGATGTGTCCCTTTCACATCGATGTTTCCCTCTCTCTCTCTTCCTCTCTCTCCCTCCCACTCTATCTGTGCAAAAAATGGAAAAATGTCCTCGGGTGAGGATAAAAATAAATAAATAATTAAATTAATTAATTAAAAATAATAATAAAAAATAAAAAATTATTTAAAGTAAAAAAAAAAAAAAAGATGAAGAATGTTGATACCCTCAGAAACCAGTGATTTTATTTCTATTCTTACCATAAAGGAAAAACTTTAGAGCTTCCCATGAATATATTTACCAAAAGGTATTATCACCTATCATTTGTAATACCAAGAAACTGAAACTTAAATGTCCAAGAATAGAGGATTGGTTAAATAAATTAGGATATGTACATAAGAAGGAATATTATGAATTTACTTAATATCAAGTTAAAACTTAATGATGTGGAAAATACAATATATTGATCAGTGGAAAAAAACAGATAAAAGAGTAAATATAGTATAATCTCAATTCAGGTTTTTTTAATCCTCACCCGAGGATATATTGATTTTCAGGTAGAGTTGGGGAAGGGAGGGGAGAGAGAGAGAGAACATCGATGTGAGAGAGACATATCAATTGGTTGCCTCCCGCATGACCCTGACCAGGGCCAGGTATTAAACCGCAATCAAGGCACGTGCCCTTGACTGGAAATGAACCTGTGACTCTTTGGTCTACAGGCTAACACTCTAAACACTGAGCCAAACTGGCCAGGGCTGAATTCAGTTTCATTTTAAGTGGGAAATCTTATACACACATACACATGCATGTACATGCAAACATGGCACAGGAAAAAAAGACTAGGAGAAAATGTACCAAAAACACTAGCAGTGGTAGTGCTCTGAGCGATGAAGTTATGGGTAATTTCTATTTTCTCCTTTTTCTGTATTTACCAAATTTTTAAAACCATGTTTTATTGTGTTTGTCTTTCTGTCTGTCTTATGCTTGATCTATCTAAAAGAACAAGTCTTTAACTTACCAACCATCTATCCAATCTCCTATTTCCTATCCATCCATCCACCCACCCATTCATCAATCCCTCCGACCAATCATCCATCCAATCATCCATTCATCCCTCCATCCAGGCAACTGTAAGTCTTGAAGTATTTTTGCTTGACCAGGTGAGTGTAGGCTCTCTGGCCTGGAGCTGAGGGACTAGCCCCTGTGATAGCTTGGGAGTCACTGGTACCTTGTAGCTGACTTGCACAATCTGGATAAAGATGGAGAGGGGCAGGCAGAGGAGAATGTCGCTGACAAGAGCCCAGCCGCAGCCAAAGTCTCTGTACAACGGGATGGGAGGGATGTAGCGTGTCCATGAGACTTCATCCACATATACTGTGAGAAAAATCAGAGACAGGGCCCAAGTCATGATGGTGAAATCACTTTTTAGTAGGCCTTGGTTCTCTTACCACAAACTTTGACAAAAACTACTTATCAGGCAGGAAGCCCAGAGATTCAGAAAGTTTGGATTATGTCTTTGTTTTGATCAGGGCACACAGACATTCTGCCAGTTCAGACAGTAAGGACAGGAACCATTGATTCCCCTTTGGCTCCTGTTGCTTGCCTGCCCTGGGGCATCTAACCTGTCTCCGTGGCCAGCTCCACTTCGCCCTCCCAGACTTCTCCATCTTGGTTGTCCTTCGGTGGGGCGTCAGAGGAGGCCGCCAAGTCTTTTCCAGAGGAGGGCGGGGCTCCGGTCCTGCCCGGCTCCTGCTTTCCTGTCCTCCTGTCGCTGCTGAGGCCCGGGTGCTCTTCCCTGTTGCTGGCAGGGTGCCCGTAGACCAGGTACCACAGAAACCTGTGCACCACCCGCAGCCGAGCCATTTTGGGCAGAAATCCTATAGAACGCCCAAGTCCAGGAACTGAGGCAAGAAAGAGGGAGGGCAGTGTTGAAAAGTCCCAGATTCAAATCAGTTCAATTCACAAAAAAGTATTGTGCGCACTATGTCTCAGGTGCCGGGGATGTTACTTTCTGGTGGGAAAGGGCAGACAATACCAAAATCCCTAAAATAATACATGGAAATAGCTGGTACAGAAAATAAAATGAGGAAGGGAAGGGAGGAGGGCTGTAGTTCTATGTAGAGGCCAGGACAGGCCTCACTGGGGAGAGGCCTTGATTGAAGTCCTCAAGTCAGTCACTGGGGGGTAGGGCACACAGACACCTGGGGCTGCGCAAACCAGGGCAAATGCAAGGTGCCTGAGGTGAGGTGTGCCTGACACATCTGAGGAAGAGCCACAGGCTGGAGTGACAGGTGGAGCAAGGAGGGTGTGCACAGATGAGCCAGAGAGCAATGGAGAAGGGAGCCACCACGGAGGGCCTGATGGACCTCCATACAGAACTCCTGTCTCGATGGGGGTTGTGCGAAATATTCCAAAATCTAGGTTCTTTTAAAGTAGCTTATTTCTTTGTTGATATAAATAAAGTGTCCCCTGGCTTCCCCAGTGAGTGGAGAGACATAGGGACAGGCAGCGGGGACAGTGGCCATCTGAGGAGCAGGCGCGGCCTTGTCTGTCAGGTGCACATGCTGTGCAGCTGCGCACACTGCTCTGTGCCCCTCCAGGCTGCACGTTCCGACTGCGAAACCTGCACAGTGAAGTCCCACAGGGGGATTTTGCCTGGAGCCCCCACGTCTGCTTGTCTCATACCAGGACATTTTCCTGCCCGACAGGGGTCTGTGCCCTGTAAGTTGCCTTTGCCCTCCCACCAGCACGTGTGTGACCAGGAGAGGGGGAAAGCACTCAGTTATAAGCCCTGCCACTGCTCATGACCCCCCATTTGTATGAGAGCAGCAGTGGGGGACGAGGGAGGAGGCAGCTCTGTTAGAGACCCGAATCTGGGGAAATTATACGAACGCTCAAACTCGCCAATGGCTCTAACTACCAGAAGGCTTACAGGGTCAGGAGAGGTGGACATTTTCTGTGGTTTATAGACTATTCCAGCCCAAGGATAGTTTGCAAAAAGAGTTAATCTTTGTAAATAATTCCTCATGTTGGGATTTGCATAGTTTCTTTCTCTTTTCTTTTTTAGAGAGAAAGGGAGAAGGAGAGAGAGAGAGAGAGAGAAAAAAAAACAACACTGATGTGAGAGAAAAACACTGGTTGCCTCATTCGTGCACTCCCACCAGAGATCAAACCCACAACCTGGGTATGTGCCCGACTGGGAATCGAACCTGTGACCTTGCAGCGTACGAGACGACGTTCCAACTAACTGAGCCACACCAGCCAGGGCGGGACATAGCATAGTTTCATCTAAGTCTTGCAACAGCCCTGTGAGGTATGCTGGACAAGAATCACTCCCATCTTGCAGATAGGGAGATTGAAGCCGGCGGAAGTCACGTGACCTGCCCACATGACTCAGCCAGTTATTCAGACTTTATTCCCAGACTGCAGCCCAGTGCTTAAGTGTAGAACACCACGTGACTCAAACGGCATCATGCAAACAACAAATGAAACACAATTAGACATTGACAAAAAGTTGCTTTTTACCTACAACAGGGTTATAATTTTTAAGCTGGGTTATGCCCATTTTCTCATCAGTTTTTTTCACCCGTCCACTTTCTGGTTTGGAGCAATCGTTCGGCTGAGAGTCTCCAGATCCACTCAGGTCCTCTTTCCCTTGACTATCTTCGTTGGCGTCCCCTTTGGGCACTGGAGGCTGGGGCACTTTAACCCTGCAGTCCAAGTACAAGACCGATGTTTTGTTGAGAAAACCAAGGGCTGAGAAAGGACAGGGTCTGTCCTCCTGAATCAGATGAAGCCATCTGGTCCCGAGGTCTCAAACTCAACTGTCCGTAGGGGCCTGGCAGATGATGGAAATCAATAAAATGTGTCAGGTCACTAGACGTTTGGGACATGAGGACTGTGGTGACCTGGAGAGCACACCTCCACCTACGGGGCAGCTGCTCCCTTGCAAGAAAGGGAGGCTGACAGACTGGGTCCTCTGACACTTTCATAACTGCCAGGTCAGGAATTTGATATGAAATTAATTGGCATCTGATTCAAAGGACACACAGCCAGCGTATGGCAAGCCGCACAACCAATGTCAGCAAGCCAGAGCGAGGCCTCGGCTTGCCCGCGGGCCACCTGTAGTTCAAACCCAGCTGAGAAGTCTCTCCCATCTCCGTGTTTTCTCTCAGTCCATTAGATGATTTGTGGGCAAAACCAGAGACGACATCAGGCGACTGGAGTCACTCTGAGCCATTATGAGACTGAGAGAGTTCCACACATGGCAGGGCCTGTGACTCGGAGGCTCTGTCCACACCTAGAGTAGAATTAAAAATGTGAGGATTTTCTTTCCTTAAAGAATCCAGAAATGGATCCTTGTCAGACTAAGGGGTCATAAACCACAAACCCCAGCCCAGTGAACTCACTGATCTTATGTGAGGATAACAAAGGGCTTTTGTGAAAACAGCTTCTGGAATGAGGACACAGACCCAGGCAGCTTCATTGGTGGGTGCTGCACTTGCCTGCTTGCTGTGCTTGAATTGGAGATCCGGAAACGAACCTGCTCGATGGCACTTCTCACCAGAGGGTCGTTCTGGTCCATGGACGGGTGCACCACCAGATCCACCTGCAGAGAGAGGGCAAAGTCCCCAAGGGCGGAGGGGCTGAGGGAGACTCGGCTCCGCTGGTCATGCCTGTTTTTATTAACATTTCCAAAAGACCATTATGAGACTGAAGCAAAGTGGGTTGCGGAACAGTTCATCAAAATCAATCAGCTGACCAAGTCTGCCATCAGCAACGTGCTCCTCTGCTCAGGTGAGGAACTGCGGCCTGGAAATAGAGCGGTCCTCCCTGCAGTCCCGCGCTGGGTGTCACGCCCTACTGGTCTCACATCTACCTGGCGGGCCACTCCTGATGCCCTGTTCCTGCTCTCTGGGGATTTCCCAGAAGTGCTTGGGAATCCTGTGGACTCCCATTTGGAAAAGGTATATGGCTTTCGTTAATCTCCCCTCGCTGAGTGGCGTCCTGGGACTCCTGCCAGGCGTGCTTCTAAACCAACAGGCAGAGGGGGTTCAGAGGTGCTTATGTTGTTTCACCCTTTCCAAGGTACTGAAGCTGAGCAGTCAGGGTGTTGTTATTCCATGAAGGATGACTAGGATGACAAATGGAAATAGCCTGGAGTTGAGCAGAGGGTGTGTGACTGCTGGCAACAGATGGCAGGCACTATGACCGGGCACATGGACAGCCAGGCTTCCTTTCGTCTCTGCCATTAGCAGGAACGAGCAAGGTAAGGTTTCCTTGCCCTCAATTTCTGCCCTGACAGGGCTGCCCGTCTGAAAGACCTGCTCTGTGGAGATCGACAAAAATCAAAGGTGCTGCAGCTAACAGGCTGGGGCTTTTGTCCTTCAACGAGAGACGCCGGCACAGGGACCTCCTGCCCCTGCTCAAGGGCACGCATGGCAGGCTGGCTGGGAATGGGAGAGGAACAAGGTCAAGGCAACTCACAGCAGATACAAAAACTGATGATTGCTGCCAACTTGGAATGGTAGAAAATGTGTTTCTGAAGTCATTTTTTTGTACCGCTTTGTGTTTTTCAAATTTCATGTCTCAATAAATAAGATAAAGTAAAAAAACAGAAATGACCTTGCCAGCTTATTAAGAAAACAAAACATCAAAGCAGAGCTCTCTTAAGGCAGAGAGTTAAAGTGCAGTCAGAATGAAAGATCAGGAAATTACAAGCGACTGTCCCCGCAGCACCATTCCCTTTGGTCTCAGTGCCCAGCTGGGCTCTCAAATTATTCTGACCCTGAAAAATTTATGCCTTAGAATATGTGCAAAGCCACTGAGCTACAGTTGCCATGGGAATGGCCCCAAACTTTAAATTGTACAGAAACAGACACACTGAGACAGAAGAGATATGTTGTTCCCCGTCGGACACCCCAGCAGTGCATGCTAATTGGGTCACAGCATCACTTCCCCTGGGATGTGTTTCCTCAGATCTCCGTGGAAATGTTCTTGCTGCTTAGTCTACATCTTCCGCCTCCTAGGCTGCTCTGCTGAGCGTCAGCACGCCCCACTTGCCCTCCTCTTTCAGGGCTGGCTGCAGGCTGGACACCCGCCCTGCGCTACACACGCGGCTTGAAGAGCTGAGCACATTACCCCTCTCTTCTGTTTCCCGTTTCCACAGAAGTTGGCATGATCCCTGTTCCCCAAATTAGGAGGCGTGATGGGAAGTTCCGAGTTACTGATAACAAAGGGATGACCAAGACATAACAAGGACATGAGAAGCTAGACAAGAAAACTTCCAGCAGCACCCAGCTGGCTCTGTGGGCACCAGGAGAGCCCGCGGTTACCTTCTTCTTGATGCCATCTTGGATGACCGTAGTCCGGTACAGTCTCAGGAGACCTTCCTCGGACAGGTTCCGCACCAGGCGGACAATGGACTTCTTACAGCACTTGGTGGACACGCCTTCTTGCTTCTCCTGATCCATGATCATCTTCTGAATCCTGGGGCATCACAAAATAAGCAGCCAACATTACCAACCGCAACATGGAAGGCCTTTCTCAACCCAGGCAACTGAGACATGCCTAACAGCATCCAGCAGAAACTAGGGATGAATTAGAGGGGGTTTGTCCACTGAAAGGTGGACTTCTCGAGACAGTAAGATCCTCTCTATTGGGGATAAATAGTCAGCTAAAGAAAAGCCGCCATTCCCAGTGGCTTCACATTCTGAGCTTTTCACCAGGAACTCGCAAGTAAAGGGTTTCTGCCGCTGCCGCCAGGGAAACTGAGAGTCACGATGGCAGCCCATCTGGATGAAGTCTCCATGCTAACTCAGCATCCACAGAAGAGTGCCCCAGCTTACCACTGTCGGCACCCTCAGGTCTGAAACCCTGGTTCCTCTCCTCATGCACAGTGGTCTCAGCCCGTCTGGATGAAGTCTCCATGCTAACTCAGCATCCGCAGAGGAGTGCCCCAGCTTACCACTGTCGGCACCCTCAGGTCTGAAACCCTGGTTCCTCTCCTCATGCACAGTGGTCTCAGCCCGTCTGGATGAAGTCTCCATGCTAACTCAGCATCCACAGAGGAGTCCTCCGGATTACCACTGTCGGCACCCTCAGGTCTGAAACCCTGGTTCCTCTCCTCATGCACCAGTGGTTCTCAACCTTCCTGATGCCACGACCCGTTAATACAGGTGACCCCCAACCACAAAATTATTTTCGTTGCTACTTCATAACTGTAATTTTGCTATTATGTCTTACGTGACCCCTGTGAAAGGGTTGTTTGACCCCGAAAGGGGTCACGACCCACAGGTTGAGAACTGCTGTCATACACCTTATTCTCTAGATCTCACTGAGTCACTACGGTGATGTTTCTAGATCACCGATGGAAATGGCAGGGACTGTAGGGACATTAGGAACATTTGGCCAAACCCCTCACTGCACTGAAGAGGGGAGCTCAGCAGCAGTAATTGTAGATGACCGCCAATCACCTAGAGAAGTCGAGTGCCTTTCATGCTGGGTGCCCCGGGAGCCATGAAGATGCCGCCCAGCAGGTGGCAGTAACAGTGGATCCGAAGGAACAAACCAGAGTGCAGACAGAGCCTCGATATCAACAGAGGCTCCCCCCCACACAAGTTCTACTTGTGGCTTTTGTTTTTGAGTTTGTATAAGATTTTAGCCGATGCTATCACCTGCCTGAGTTTCTTTTTACTCCTTTGTTGCCACGAAATTTCCAAGGAAGGAGAAAGGTACACGCAGTTTCCCCAGGACTTTCAGTTCATGCTCAATCACCTCTCCTTGTCTAATGTGCTGATATTTCTCAATGTCTACACTTGTCAAATCACATGAACAAACTCTAAATCCTTTCTACTACAAAGAGATACTATGATCTGTACAGGGAAAGGAGATTCAAATGGTTCTCGGCCATTTCTTTGATGACTAACTGGCATAAGATTTATCATTAGTGCAAGACCGACAGACTACTCCTTACGTGAACAGGCTCTCGATCAAGCGGAGGTTGGTGACAGCTTCTATGATCAGATTTCTGCGTTTCAGCAGTCGGTAGGTTTCATGGGGTTTGTCTTGGCCTGGGCCGTGCTTACCAGTCTTCTGGGAGCCGCTGCTCTCCTGGAACAGGGACCAGAAGCACAATACAATGGGCTCAACACAGTTTGGAGGGCCAGACACCACCCCTGTGGGCACACTTTCCCTCCTTATGGAATTTCTATGCCCATGTTTCAAGAAGGAAGCCAAGAGGACTATTTCCCCGACGAGATTCCACACCCCACTATTTCAACGCTTTGAATGAGCAAAGGCACCTGCCAGTAGCCGACCTGGGAATTGTATGAAGACCAGCTGGGTTCAGAACAGAATGAAAAGCATGTAACACAGCACCTCCTGAGGCAGCAGAAAGCATTCACTCTATCTTCTCTTGGTTCTTCCCCAAGAAACTGACATACGAGCACAGCTCCACATCACTCTGTTAAGCTTTTTCTCATTAAAAACTCTCAGCCACCTTATATTGCGGCTCCCATGCTACGGAAGAGGAGAGCAGGGCTCAGTGAGGTGATCACTCGACCAGGGTCCCAGAGCGCCAGGACAAGTGATGCCTCATGGGCTTCTGACGGCAAGTCCAGGAAGTCCCGGGACATCGCTCTGGGAGTAAAAGACTAGCCCAGGCCGGCTTCTGAGCCCAGAACAGGCTGCCCTCGGTAAATGAGGATGAGTGACGAGGGAAAGATGACGGGAGAAGATCTGGGTTCTCCCTCTTATCCCTGCCCACGTGCTCACTTCTCTCTTCATGGCTCCTCTCTGCCCTCCAGTAGCCTAAATAAACTTGTTCCATCAGCTCTCTCAGATCAAATATGGTACAGCTGACATGTGCCAACTCTAACATACTCCTCGCAAACCACTTGGCACAAATCAGCTCCACACAGCAGCCCAGGGCCTGTTCGGCTGGACGCCTCCTCGCTCGGAGAGGCGCCTGCAGGAGAATAAGAACTCGCTCGAGGAGGCTGCTCGGTGTCGGTGTCACGACAGATCACCTCCCTGCCTTCTGCTGGAGCTCTGGCGAGGCCCAGTTCTCTCATTCAGGCAGAAGGGCTCGAGGGGCGACAGGTCCAAAGATTCAAGAACGGGCCCACGAGTGGCAGAAAGGCCTTTGTTCTCTCTTGTATTTCAGAGCAAACACTTGGAGAAGCACCTGAGTAAATACGGCCACTTCCATGGGGCTGCTGGAGACAAAGAGGAAACGCGCTTTGCCAAGGGGCCAGCGGGTAGTGTAGTTCACGCCCCTCTTCTCAGCAAGTGTAAAAAAGGAATAGATCCTGCCACTGCTTTGGGAACAAATTTCTAAGAGGATGAGAAAGAGCTGAGCTGGGAAGCAAGCAACAGGAGTTCTGGTACCTGCAGGGAGATGCGTGGGCCTGATTGGAAGGGGGAGGGGGAGGGGGAGGAAGGCAGGTCAACCCCTGGGAACCTGCTAGGATCCACCTGCATGCAAGGTTCTTCATTAGAGACAATACCAATCACGACTTGATAGGGAGGAGTTACGGCATCCAATGACTAGGAAAGGGCAAAAGGTTTTAGAAAAATCCACAGAAAACCGTTACCACCCCACACCCTCCATCCCTTCTGCAGTAGGGAGAGTAACAGCACACACCTCCATACAGAAAGGGAGAAGCACGGGAGGGGGCGGGTCCTAATCCTCACTGTGTCGTGAACAGAGCAGGCACCTCACCTAATCCCAGAGCTGGCACTTATCTCGCAGGCCTGCTGTGCAGCCGGAATAAAACAGCGGAGACAGCATCCAAAGACACCCTGACCACAGCTCTGTTCTCTGCTGGGTGCCTCCTCCTCTGAACCTGTGCTTCTAGCCAGCAGGAGGTGCCACCAATATCTGAGGCACTTTCAGGTAACAAAGGACAATGAGCTGAATCATATGAGAAAGGGTCCTTGTGTCAACTGTCTTTCAGTCTAATTACACTGATGAAAAAGCATTGGTTTGATTGTACTGTGTCTTTAACCCTCTGACTTACAACAGTATCTGGCCCGAATGTGTCAACACAGGTTTATTTTCATTACATCTATTTTATGGTTTCTCTCTTTTTATGGTCACACTAGTGGCCTTTCCTGTAAAGCAGCTTCTCAGCTCTGGCACTGCGACCATTTCGGGCTGTGCTGCACATTCTGAGGTATGTAACAGTGTCCCTGGCCTCTACCTACTAGATGCCAGTAAGCACCCTCTCCCCCCACTCGGGACAATTAATAATAACTCCACACATTGCAAAGTGTCCCCTTGGGGGCAAAATCGGGCCAAAGTGAGAACTGATCTAAATTGGCCATATAAAATTTCTCTCCAAAACAAATTTAAGTAAAAAGGTGAACTGTTGGAAATTTAAAAACTCCAGATAACAGTGCAGGTGAGCTGTGGTGGGTGCAAGGCTGCGCGCAGGTGGCACGTGAATGAGCACAGCATCACTCCCAGAGCACCTGGCCCTGGCCTGGCACAGGCCAAGCACTTGGCATCTGATGCTGATTGTGTGTGTGTGTGTGTGTTTTTTAAAGAATAGTTGAGTTTTAGAGTGAGAGGAAGGGAGAGGGAGAAACACTGATGTGAGTGCAGTGCCTCCTGCACGCCCCCTAGTGGGATCAGACTGCAACCTGGGCATGTGCCTGGATCAGGAATCAAACTGGCAAACTTTCGGTGCACAGGCTGATGCCCAACCAACTTACCCACACTGACCAGGGCACTGTTGTGATTTTTTTAATCCTCACACAAGGATATTTTTCTATTTATTTTCAGATAGAGTGGGAGGTGAAGAAAGGAAGAAAGAGAAACATTGATGTGAGGGGGACATATCGACTGGTTGCCTCCTGCACAACCCTGACCAGGGCCAGGGACGAACTGCAACAGAGGTACGTGCCCTTGGCTGGAATTGAACCCGCGACTCTTTGATCCCCGGGCCAACACTCTACCGCTGAGCCAAACCGGCCAGGGCACTGTTGCTTCTTAAGCACAGAACTGACAAGGCTGTTGTCCACCTGCCACAGGCTGTTTGCTGGAGAAAATGCCCCTCACTGTGGGCGCTCACTCACCTTTGGGTTTTCAAGCCTGACCTCTTCGATCACAGCTATGTCGCCACTGTTACCGTCCACGCAGTGGGGGCCGAAGGCCACGCCGGGCTCTGAGGAGCTGCTGGTATCCAGGAGGCTGTCCCCCGCAGCAGGGCCCCGGCCGGCCTTCTCCTCCGCGGCTCCTGGAGAGCACGATGGCTGCTTCTTCAGTGGGTGCAGGTTCACCTTCCAGCCACCTGGAGGGCAGGGGTGGAGAATGAATGGTGGCCGTACCCAGGGGAGAGCGATGGAGGCGATTATCTCGGCAGGCCGGACCACGCCGGCCGATTCCAGGTGCTCAGTGAAGAGGAGGGCAGTGGCCGAGCAGCGTGGTGCCCCCTTAGCTGGACACCATACGTGCACATCTGTCATCAGTACCACCCTCCGCACATTAAAAAAATGTTTCTACAACTAAACTAAAAACCTGAGGGGTTTTTAGGTTGTTGGAGGGAAGGGACTGGAAAGTTTATGGAATTCCATCCCGTTAAAAGAGAAAACAGAAAACATTTGCCAAAGAGCCAGGAGCCAGACCACACGCGATGCCCTCTAAACTCATGCTGTGTCTGCGGCACCAACAGGTCCCGGAGTAGGACGGTGCCGAGAGCACCCAGCTGTCTGCTGGATGGGACGGCGGCAGCTCAGACCGAGGGCGCACACCCTGCCCGCCCCTGCCCCTGCCCAGGGGGCAGCCGTACCCTTGGTGGGGGTGGAGTGATGAGGGTGGGTCCCGAGACTGATGCTCGAGGATTTCACATCCCCCTGCGATCCTTTGCCTCTCCTCTTGTTGCCTCCGCTGCTGCCATCCTCCTCGCTGTCTGACTCAGAGAGGAACGTGTCCTCTCCTTCAGGCGGGAGGGACTCCTCCGGCACCGAGGCCAAGCTCACTGTGGCCAGCAGCTCGCTCCGGGCTTTCTCCCTTTCGTATTGCCGGCTTAGGTCGCTCTCCTCTGCAAACACGCAGGAGATATACTTGGTGGTCCGCTGCCGCCCTTCATCTTCCATGAATCCCTGGGAAGATGAGACGTGTTTACTTACATTTAAAAGGGGGTGCTGAAACACACAGGCATTCAGGTAACCTGTGGGTTGCGGTGTCTATTTCCTCATCATTCCTGCATTCCTGTGTCTCCTCCGCCACACTGCCTGGGCCCAGGTCAGGCCCCACCATGCTCCCGCACAGCTTCCTGCCTCGTCCCCCTCAACCCTCAGCTCCGGCTTCCACAGGCCGTCGGAGAGAGTTCTCTCAGTTGTGATCCTGAACGTGTGTCTGCTCTGAGACTGTGCTCCTGGAGGGCGGGGCCCTAACCTGGTCCTCCATGTGTCCCCAGTGCCTGGCTCAGGACTAAGCCCGAGGAAATAGTAAGCAGTGCGTGTCTGTATGTAAAACTTGGGGGTGTAGAACTGTTACCACACACTGGCGAGTCAGGGCCTAGGGCTCACCACCTCCATTCAGCCACTGCCATGGGGACTAATGATGAGGTCATCACCAACCCACATTCTATCTTCTAGATCAGAGAAGAAAAGGCTCTCCCAGGGTCCTCAACGTCAGAAAGAGTAACGCTTTTCATATACCAACCACATGTCAAGGACAATGACAAGTGCCCTGCAATCATTAGCTTGAGTCTAATGCTGCCTTCCAGCAAATGGCCAGAGCTCAGGAGAGTGTGAGGCACGAAGGGCTGGGAGAGCAGGTCTGAGTCTGCAAGGAGAGCACCAGGCTTGCGGTCGGCCAGCGCAGTGTCCCCAGGGGCTGGAGCGGGAGCACAGAAGGGAGGGCGGGCCTGTGGAGCCCTGGAGAGTGCCTGCTCTGTCTGAGGGGCGCTCGGATGCTGGCCAGCTGCAGCGGCTCCGCACTCGGGAGGAGGCTCCCCGTGCTGCCACATCTCCTGTTAGCTTTTCAATGCTGACCACTCCTTCAGTTTTTAAGAAATAAAAACCAACAAAGACCACAGTATTTGGCCCCCGGACAGCCATTTGCCTCTTTGACAGAGATGGCAGGCTGGTCTTGTTTTCTGACCCGCTGAGACACTGCTTCATAATCACACTGTGTGCATGTCCAGACAGTGAATTGTGCGGAGGACTCACGATGTTACCTTGACAACTTTGAATCTTTGAAGAAGACGACACAGCATTCTTGCTTCCAGCTTCCCCACATTCATGGCCACTCGGATTTCAGCTTGGGAAATTCCTTTCGTGCCTCTGCGCTCAACTGCGTGAAACAATACACTTGAACCCTAACCTTTGCAAAGGAGCCGTTCTGCACACATCAAGTCAATTCCCACCCACCTTTTAAAAGTAGACATTTCAGTGCAGTGAAACCAACAAGCAGAATAAAATAAATGCCTCCTCTCTCCCCTCCCAAGATTCTCTGAGTACCACCACTAAGAGCCAGTTAAGTGCTCACCATCCGAACATCAAGTATCAACTGCTAATCTACTAAGTTCCAGCACAGGAAGTTAGCTCTTTACCACGAATTGACTTTTTCAGATAAATGAAATGAACCGTTTTAAAAAGCATCAAAATAGCCCTGTCCGGTTTGGCTCAGCGGTTACAGCGTTGGCCTGCAGTCTGGAGAGACCCGGGTTTGGTTCCCGCTAAGGGCATGTACCTCAGTTGCAGTTTGTCCCCAGCCCTGGTTGAGTAGTGTGGGTGGCAACCACTTGATGTGTCCCTTTCACATTGATGTTTCTCTCTCTGTCTCTTCCTCTCTCTCCCTCCCACTCTCCCACTCTATCTGAACAAAAAATGAAAAAATGTCCTAAAAATGTCCTCGAGTGAGGATAAAAAACAAAAACAAAACAAAAAAATAAAAAGCATCAAAATAGCCTGGCCGTGTGGCTCAGTGGTTGAGTGTCGACCCATGCACCAAGAGGTCACCGGTTCAATTCTTGGTCAGGGCACGTGCCCAGGCTGTGGGCGCGATCCCCAGTGGGGGGCATGCAGGAGGCGGCCAATTGATGTTCTCTCTCATCGATGTTTCTGTCTTTCCCTCTCCCTTCCTCTCTCTCTAAAATCAATAAAGAAAAAAAATACTAGAAAATAACTAAAAAGCATCAAAATAATTTTTAATTAAGAACTTTTCAGTTTTCCCTGTCTTTCTTGTCAACTCAGAGGCACTGTGGACACCGATTACTGTCCTGTCCCGTCACAGCCATCAGCCAGCAGGGACTATGGAAGGAATGACGACGCCATGTGGCCCCGTCCAAACGACCAGCAGGTGGCTGTTTTAGCATTTGCTCCATCTAGTTTCTTGGCTCCTGTCCTTCTACAAGGTCACTGCCCAGTGCTATTATCATCTCTCTCTCCAAGAAGCCCTTTTAATTCACTGGGCTACTGGAGACTGGAAGCTCTAGGAGGGAGCCTGGCAGGAGCTGGGCAGGTGACAGGAGTCCCTTCAGTAAAATACACACACTGCAGGGCAGACTCTCTGGCAAAGCTCTCTGACTGCTCTGAAATATTTTCCCCTTTATTTCCTGATTCAGCACCCCCTTGAGGCTGTCAAGTAGAACCAATCTGGATAAAGGAGGTTTTGTATTGTGCATGTAAAAAAAAACCCTAGAATGAAGAGAGGCAACCAGAGGCTGTTCCCATGCTGAACCAGTAACACACTAATGGTGGGGTGAGAGTTCAGGGCAGCTTTTCCCAAACTTGGCTCCGAGGGCTCCATCCTGAGATGGGAACAGCGGGTGAACGGCCCGAACAGCCCTCCGACCACGCTGAGCCTACTTGCCAGCATCTGCACCTGTGGCTGAATCAGCTGTCCTGCAGTCATCTCACCCCCTCCCCCCCCCCCGCCAGGACCTGCGGCCACACCTTCCATGATGGGTCACTGCTGTGCCACACGAATTTTAGGGGATACAGAGGAAAGCTGAGGAACAAGGGGAGACATATTTTCCCCCTTTAGCACTGAATTCTCAGCCTGCAGGGACCCCAGGCCAGTTTACAAGATGGTAGGTGGCTCTCAGATCTTCAGGGAATAATACTAATAGCTTTGTTTTTAGTGCTTCCTATGTACCAGGCACTACACCAAATGTTTCCATCCTAGTCCTTGTTACATGCTATGGTGGATATTATTCCCATTTTGCAGAAGAGGGGACTGAGGTTTGGAGACCTTGCTAAAGCCACAGAGCTACCAAGTGGCAGAGCAAGGATTCATACTCAGATCTGATCCCAAAGCCTACACCCTTCAAGGGCACCATGGTGTTTCCTGCTGCGTTAGCGTCAAGAGCGGAGCCCTCTTTTGACGCACAGGCAAGACACTTCTCGCCTCAAGTGCTCAGGAACCGCACACAAGCAGGTGTGAGAACAGGACCTACTGAGTTCGTAGGTCTGCGTGAGCATGTCCCGCTCATACACGATGTCCACCAGAGGCACTGCCTTGGAGATGACCTCCTCGTCCTCGTCGTCGTCCTGGTCGTGGTCGTCCTCGACCTTGCGTTTAAATTCCTTCAGCAGCTTGAGGCAGCGCACCATGACGTCAGTCCCTGGGAACACAGGCCCGTTTTCCAGCAATCAGTGACACAGTGGTAGGGGGCGACCTCAGAGACAGACCCAGAGAAAGGTCAGACACAGCACGGAGTTTAGAACTTTTAAAACTGCACATCTTGGGGTATAAGACCTAAAAACTGGCTCCATAAAGCTGCCTTTTGTTTTTAAAATAATTAGTGAACAAAGAAATGCAATGAAAGGCATAATGAAGTGCCCTGTTGGTCCCATGAAACAGACAGCAGCCTTTTGCTTGAGGTAAGATCCATGCCTGTCTTTCCACTTCATCACCCCAGCCCCTAGAACAGTGCCTGGCACACACTAGACACACGAATAGTATTATTGAAAGAGTAAAAACCACCTTTTTCCGAGTAACCACTGCCAATAGAGTGGCCATTTTGGGAGGCCTTTAACCTAGTGAATCCAAGTGTGAAAACTTAGTCCAAGAAAACAGCTCAAAAAGAGGCGAAAGCTGCCACCACAACAGGCCCACACAGCACTGTGTAGCACTAGCTTTCATGAATGACACAGTACAACGCTGGCGGGGGACTAAGTGATGGTACCCGGAGAAGCCAGCACACACCGGGCTGGTGCCTGCCTTCAAACCATCACACTGCACCCACATTCAACCCCTAAGCACGATGCAGGAAAAACGACAGTGTGTGCCTATGGCTGGGACAGGAGAAAGGTACAAGGAAAAGCAAAAACGTCTCGACACTTTACGTGTGCTTATTAATAACACACTGGATCCTGACAACCCAATTTTCAGATGAAAAAACGGAGGTACGGGGGGTCAATGAATTTACTCAACAGCTTGCAAGGGACAGAAGCAAAGTTCCTGAGGCAGGATCACAGGTCCCCAATATGGGAGACATGATTCTGCACTGAGGTGTGGAGGCAGAATAATGCCCCTTGAGGATGTCCACGTCCTAAGTCCTGGAACCTATGAGCATGTTATCTTCTGTGGCAAGAGGGACTTACTTGCAGCTGTGATGAAGGCTTTTGTGTGGTGGTGGTGGTGGATCGTCTGATGGGCCAATGTAACAGCCCAGAGTCCTCGTCAGAGGGAGGCAGGAGAGTGACAGCTACGTCTGCTGGCTGTGAAGAGGGAGGCAGGGACCCTGAGCTAAGGAATGCAGGAAACTTCTAGAAACTGGAAAAGGCCAGGAAATGGGTTCTCTCCCAGAGCCTCCAGGAGCAACCCAGCCTGACTGTCACCCAGTGAGACCATTTCAGACTTCTGACCTCCAGCACTGTAAAATAATAAATTCCTGTTGCTTTAAGTCAGTTCGTTATGGTTGTTACAGCAGGGATACAGATGGTTTCTCCACCAGCTTTTGTCAGCACACCGAGGTGCAGATCCCTCACACCACCGCAAAGGGTGGCAACAAAGCGGGCCCGTGACCCAGCTGCCTGTGCAGGCGCTCTGGCCTCCGGGGCCTTCCTGGGGCCGAGACGACCACCACAGCCTGGAGCAACCAGGAGGAAAACCATGTGGACATGGGGACTCGGGCTCATATGTATGGGGAGAACTGTTTCAAGGCTCAGGTGACCAGGACTGGGTTCTCTCTTGAGAGGCAACTGTTGCCAACACACGGACAGAACACTGTCCACCAAGCCACTCCCCACTGGGCCTTCCCCCAGTCCTAACTTCAGCCCCAACCAACCCCGCACTCCCCATCTCGCTCCTAACATTGTGCTCACAAAGCAATCTGTGCTCCTGATAATGCAACTCCTACCATTTCTCGAATATGAGCGGTGTCCTGGGCACTGACCTCAGCTCTCCACGTGTCACACCAGCTAGTCCTCACCAGCCTCAGCGCTCGGTGCTACGACCCAGCCGCACTTAGAGAACATGAGCAGCTGAGGAATTTGCTCCCACCCATTAGCAAGTGAGGGGCTGGGTCTTACCAGGCAGTCTGCCTCAGAGCCCAGGCCCTAACCTTTGATGACATATAGCCCCTAATTGACAGCCGTCCATGTAACCGAGAACAACGGTGACCTGGGGCCAGGGACATTGGCTTCCGGGTGAGGAGGAACACGACACGCCACTTAGCAGAGCAGACCCACACACTCAGCAAGAGCCTGATGTTGTTTCTTCCACTCCTTTCAACTTCCTTAAGGAGCTCATTAGCCAAGAAGATACACAGAACAGCCCTCCAAACAAACACAAGTGGAAGAGGAGAAACGTTACTATACACTCAGGGTCTCAAAGCGCAACCAGGGAAATCCCTCCACCTCCGAAGCCTCTGCTCTGCACAGGACCAAGGCAGCAACTTCCCACCCCTCTGCTCCAGCGCGGCCGCCAGTCCCGCCAGGGCCTCTCCATGGCCCAGCGCCTCCCTGCCAACAGCCAGGCAGATGGACGGTCAGCAGTGTGTGGAAAGACGGGCTTTGGGGCCAGGAACATGTGGGTCCACTTCAGCTGTACAATCTCTCATTTCTGTGATTTCGGGGAACTGACAGCATAGAATTGTTTTCTACTCAAAAGAATGAGATGACCACATTCTCCACTTCACAGGTCAGTGTCAGGATGGTCCCAGGTAACATCTGCACAGACTGGCACGCAGCAGTCATTCGCCCTAACGCCAGCGTTGCTGGGGGCAGGGGCGTTCCATGAAGTGAGCGCCCTGCAAGCCTCACCCTCTCAGGCTGGCAGGGGCTGCCCAGATGTGGAGCCGAGGCAGACAGCTTAGGTGACTTGCTCAAAGTGACGGAGCTGTGGGACGGCAGAGCTAGTTTTGAGCCCAGGCTGTGTGAGTTTTCTTAATGAAAGAGCCAGCACCTGGCACAGTCCAGGCTTGACAAATTAGTTGAATTGAAGAGAGTTGGCCCCAGCCCTGGCTGGTATGGCTGAGCATAATCCAGTGCACCAGAAGGTTGCTGGTGGGATTTTCGGTCAGGGTTGTGGGTTCGATCCCTGGTTGGGTATGTACGGGATCGATGTTTCTCTCTCCCTTCCTCTTTCTGTAAATCTATAAAAAGATATGAAAAACAAAGACACTTGGCCCCTTCTCGCCAGGCAGGAAAGCCTCATGGCTGCCTGAGGCAGTGGTGGCCTGGCTCCTGGAAACACGTGGGCACTCGCCCCTCCTCCGGTCCTGCACACGGGGTCCAGGAAGGCCGGGGCAGGCAGGCTGCTGGCCGGGGCGCGGGCGCTGAGAATGACACAGGCCTGAGCGGCTCCCTCTGATCACACTGCGCACCGAGTCTGAGGACAGAGAGTGTCGACTTGGGAGACAAGTCTCGCACACCTCGAGCGGAGGGTGGTCTCAAGCACCCCGGGCGGGGCCTGGTGCGAGGCTATGGGCGAGGTTGGGGCCACAGGGTCCGCAGCCCTGCCCACCCCAGATCCCACAGCTCACAGCTGCCTCCTCTGCGGGCAGCCAACCGCACTGACATTCTTCTGTAGCCGTCCGACGAGGAAACCCCGACCACTTACCCAAGCCGTGCCTGTCTCTAGTCCTTCTCCACATACAGACCTCAGAGACATGTCCCTCTCCCCATGCCACGTCGTATGTGTCTTTACTTCAGGCAGCGTGCCGGGGCTGGTGTGTGAACCTGGGCAAGCCGGCTGCCCTCCCTCAGCCTCAACAGCCTTGCCTATAACTAGGGCTAATGACAATGTCCAGCCCTACGGGTGTGGGGAGAACAGCCAGGAGAAGGCAGGAAAGGATGAACAAAGTGCGGGCTGTGCTTCATGGCTCCAGGCGACGTGGTCAGTTTCACTGGCCTTTTATCACAGTCCTAGAGTTTTATCGGCCTCAGAATTTCAACTTTTATTATTAAAATCCCTTCAGCTCATACTTGCCTTTTATGAGAAGCCTGTTCCAGATCATAAGCAGCAGAAAGGGTGAGAGCGAGACCCCGGTCGACACGCTCAGGTGGGGTGAATACAGCGCCCCCCCCCCCCCCCGGCTGCCACCTCGGTGACCTGCAAGCCTCCGGAAGGATCGCCGGCCCGTTAAAGGCAACCCTGACTACTGGGTGCAGGGCTTTCTTTCCAGGAACAAACGGCAGGAGAGACAACCAGATCACTGCACAGGCTTTCAAGCACACGGGACTTCAGGCATTTAAAAATGTGGTGTGCTCACGTCAGCAGCTAGACACCGAAGAATCATGCAGTTCTGTTATGTCAAAGATCCAGGTCCTGCTAGCACGAGGAAAGGATGGAAAGGATGGCTTAACTTAGACGTTCTGAAGGCCCACAGAAGGGAAGGGGTGAATCTGAACTGAGCTCCTAGCACAAACCAGGCCCTGGGTCAGGTGTTTTCAGAAGCTATTTTATTTTATTATCACGTGGATTCTGCATGTTTTTTTTAATACTCAATTGAGGACACTTTTCCATTTTTTTGTTCAGATATAGTGGGATGGAAATAGAGGAAGAGAGAGAGAGAGAGATTGGCGTGAAAGGGACACATCGAGTGGTGCCTCCCGCACAACCCAACCAGGGCCGGGGATGAACTGCAACCAAGGTACATGCCCTTAGCGGGAACCGAACCCGGGTCTCTCTGGACCGCAGGCCCACGCTCTAACCACTGAGCAAAACTGGCCAGGGCGATTCTGCACGTTTTTATTGCCATTTTAAGAGAAAAGAAACTGAAGCTCAGAGGGGTGGAGGGATCTAACTGATGTCTTGGACCGAGCAAGTGGCCGGCCCTTCTTCTACAGTAGGCTACCTGGCCAGGCTAGAACTTCACATTTTTATCAGAAAGCACTGTCTGGTGTAAAGGAAAACCCAGAGTGGCTGTGAAGCGGAACCCATAAGGGCCTGTGTTTCTCACACTTCCAGTGAAGACTCGCCCGGCCTCCGAGCAGAATGGTATGCACAAGTAGGGTCCATCACCCTGAGAGAGAACAAAAGCAAGGCAGGAACAGGGAGCACTGGGCGACCTCGTCCTAAGGAGTCGCTAGCCAAGGGGAAGGCCTACTGGTGAGCCAGGCAGATGTTAGAAAATTCAGTGTTATTCCCCTCCCCCCAACACACACACACACACAC